TTAAAGACAGTAAATCATCAAATGATGTATTTCAATTGCTGACAGAAAGTAAATGACAACTGATATTACTATAACCAGGAGAGTGATCCTTTAAAATGGATGAAGAAATAAGGAGTTTCTATGATAACACAAGGTACTAACCTAGCTCTACAGGATTATCTTGAAGGAACACCATACAGAGAATGGGGGAAAATGAACACAGACACACAGGCACCCAAAAATGAAGATATCTTACTAGAAGAGAAAACAAACGAGAAGTATAAGAATCAAGATCTATTAACACAGCAAACCAACAAATCACCAAAATTAAGAGAGATTAGTTCATAATGTTTAATCAATGTAAGAAGTCTTAACTTTCGAATTAAAATTAAAAGCTGTAGACTTGAGGCTGGAGAGATGGCTCAGTGGTTAAGAGCACTGACTGTTCTTCAAGAGCACCCATGTTCAGATCCCAGCACCCACATGGTGGCTCACAACCATCTTTAACTCTAATTTGATGGAATCCTACACCCTCTTCTGACCTTCACTGACACCAGGCATGTATGCACACATGCACACACGAACACATGCAATGTACAAGCATACATGGAGGAAAACCACTTAAACAGATGAAATAAAAAATAAATGAGTCTTTATAATACATTGTGAGAAATTATCAGAGTTGGTAAAAAAATAAAAATAGGCGGTGGTGGCACACACCTTCAATCCCAGCACTCACAAGGCAGATACAGGTGGATTTCAGTTAGTTCGATGCCAGCCTGATCTACAAAGTGAGTTCTAGGACATCCAGGACTATTACACAGAGAAACCCTGTCTCAAAAAACCAAAATAAAAAACAAAAAATTACATAAATATAACAGCAAAACAACCAAATACAATACCCTCAATCAAATATGTTAATACAAATCCTGAAAGTTTGAAACTACCAGAGGAAAATGGTGGAATTTTGTAATATAGACACAGGTAAGGGCTTTCTGAAGAGGATTTCAAAAGCTCAGGAAATAATGTCAACAGTTGACAAATGACAAACATAAAAATTTAAACCGTCTCAAAACAATTAATAGAGTGAAGTGATGGCCTTAAAATTGAAGAAAGTTTTGTCAGCTATTATCCAGAACATATAAGGAACTCAAGAAATTAAATATCAAAAGGACAGCAGCAACAATAACAAAAATCCATATAAGTGAATGAAAAATGAACCAAACAGAAACTTTCTCAAATAAAGACATAGAAAAGACAGATTAAAAACATGAAAAGAAGGCATCATCTTTAGCTGCTAGGGGAATGCAAATCAAAACTACATTGAGATTCCACTTCATCCCAGTGAGAATGCCTGTCAACAAGGAAAACACAAAGTGGCCTATTTAGGAGGCTGAGGCAGTAAGATTGCAAGTTCAAAGCTTGTCTGAACTACAGAGTGAGTGCAATTCAGGTTTAGCAACTTAGTAAGACCATGTCTCAAAGCAGAAGGTAAAAAGAGGACTGGACAAACAGTTACATGTTTGATGAACTAGGTTCTACTCCCCTGCCCTACAATAACAAGAAAGTGCAACATAAAAGCTCAGCTCCAAGCCAGAAGTGGTGGTGCACACCTTTATCCCAGCATTCAGTAGGCAGAGACAGGCAGATCTCCGTGAGTTCGAGGCCAAGCCTGGTCTTCAGAGCAAGTTCTGGGAAGGCCAAGGCTATCCAGAAAAACCCTGTCTTGAAAAAAAGACAAACATGCCGAGCAGAGGTAGAAGGACTGAATTCAAAGCCAGCCTGGGCTTCATAGCATGTCTGAAGTCCATCTGAACTATATAGTTAGTGGGATCATGTCTCAAAAGTTAAAGAGAAAAAAAAAACAACAAATGGTGGAAAGTATGTAGGGGAAAATGAACCCAAATCCTTACATTAATATTAATTAGTACAGCCACCATAGAAATAAATATGTAGATTCGTCAAATTTCAGGTCACTTTTGTAGAGATTTAGCTGTATGTTCATGTTTACTGCTGTTCATAATAGCTAAGTGACAGAATCAGCCCCCAAACAGATGATTGCACAAAGAATGTGCAATACATTATAGAATATTATTTGTTCTTAAAAAGAACAAAATTACCTAATTCACATAAAAGCGTGTGGAAATGAAGACATGTTGCAGAAGAGAACTTAGACTAACAGGCAAGTATCTTGTGTTTAAGGTTCATTTGCATACGAGGAAATTAAGGTGGAAGAAAGGACAGGGGTAGTAACTCAGTGACTGGAATTTGTCTGTCATGCACAAAGCCCTGGTTCACTCCCCAACACTGCAAAAAAAAGTTATTAAAAAATATCTAGGACAGGGCTAGCAAGAGGGCTCAGCAGGTATAAGTGCTTGCTGCCAACCCGGTGACCTGATTTTGATCTCAGAACCCATATGGTGGAGCTAGAACACCAATTCTCACCAGATGCCATCTAACTATAAGAACACCATGGTACACATGTCCACACATGGGCACACACAGCCAATAAGTAAATGTAAAATTTAACAAACACTAAAATAGTATCTTGGATATATAAAGAACTGCAAAAATTAAACATCGAAAATGAAATCAAGCATTGGATAGGCAGTTCTCAAAAGAAGAAATGCAAATAGTCAATAAATATTTGAAAAAGTGTTCAACATCCTTAGCCATAAGGAAAACACGAATTAAGACTGCTTTGAGATCCCATGTCATGTCAGTCAGAATGACTGTCATCCAGAAAACAAATGTTTCAGAGAAACCTTTTTATTCACTGCTGGTAGGGATATAAACTAGTACAGTTTCTATGGAAATCAGTAAGGATGTTTCTCAAAATACTAAACATAGAAATGCCATATCATTCAACTATACCTCGCTTGAATATATATCTGAAAGACTAAGTCAACACGATACTTGCATATGCATGTTTATTGTCGCATTATTCAAAAGAGCCAGGAAATGAAATCAATCCAGATTTCCATCAATAGATGCATGGATAAAAATGTGGTACATATACATAATGGAATTTCATTCACTCATTATAAAATGAAATATATTTTTTAATAAAAATGAAATCATGACATTTACAGGAAAATGAATGCAACTGGAGATCATAATGTTAAATAAAATCATCCAGGCTCAAACAAATACCAAATATCACATATTTCCTCTTATATGCAGAACCCAGATTTAAATTTGTGTATAGGGCTGGGAAGATAGCTCACTCAGCAGTTAAAAGCACTTGCAGAGGACCTGGGTTCAGTTTCCAGAACTCACATGGTGACTCACAACTGTCTGTAACTTCAGTTCCAGGGAATCTGGTGAGCACCAGGCATGCATATGATGTACATACATGTAAGCAAAACACTCATACACCTAAAACAAATAAATCTAAAAAATTCAAATTGTATACATGTATTGTGTGTTTACATGTATGTTGGGAGTCATTAAAGTGGAAAGGCGATCCTGAGAGGGGAAGAAGCGATCTTAAGAGTGGGGAACAAAGTAGTAATGAGCTTAAGAAAGGAGGGATTATGTGGGAAAAAGAAGGGAACCAATGGGGGATGGTGGTAGAGAGGGCATAGGGGAAATCAGAGGCGGAAGTGAACAAATGATTCAATGTAAAATAACACACAGGTGTGAAATTTTCATTATGCTAACGTAAAATTTATTTAAAGAAAAAGGTAGTAAGAATTATATTTTGCTCTAAAAAGAGTAAAGGGTAAAGTAAGAATGGTGAGATGTAGAAGTCAGGTAAGTAAACCGATAATGTTGTAGACACATTAACTTTTAACGTCTATGATGTTATTACTAATTGTTAATGATGTGAATGGGATTTTAAATAATTGAGAATAAATTTTGCTTTCACAAAAAAGAAGGGTGAGATGGATGAGAAAGGATAGTAGAGGGGATGAAAATGATCAGTGTATGAAAACGCATGTTCAAAATGTTGAAATGCAACCCAGTCCAATACATACAATTAGTATGTCACTCAAGTAAATTATCATTTAATGGTTTTAGGACTATTACATTTATTTATTTATACACTTATTTATTTTAAAGAGTTACTTCAGTGTTTTATTTTATTTCATTTTAATATAATTTTTATTATTTTACATGACAAGCGCAGTTTCCCCTGCTTCCTGTCTTCCCGCTCCTCCCCCCTCAGAAAAATAGAAGACTATTAAATTTATAAGGAAACTGTTACTACAACCCTCTTTTTCAATACAAAGAATCCTTCATGAGACATTTTTTGCTATAGCACTATTTATCTAACATTTATAGCTGATTTTTTTTCTAAAAAGTTTTGAGCACTTTTCAGTTTTATTTACTGTATATGGAAATAGTCAAGGAAAGTAAAGAGAATGATCGACACATTCCAATAACGTTCAGTACTTTATTTTTAAGCCTTTCATTTTTTTAGTTGTGCATTTCTTATTAAGTGTGTGTGCACATGAATGCAGGTAACCTGGAGACCAGAGACATCACATCCTCCCATGGAGCTGGAGTTGTAGATAGTTTTTCACAATGTGCTGTGGGTGCTGGTGTGCTCCTCTGCAAGAGCAAAATTTGTTCTTAAGTGGTGAGGCATCTGTCCTGCCCCAGGTTCAGTATTTTATAGTAGCCTATAAATTTTGTTTCGAGCGTTCTTGCTGTTGTCATAAAGTATGCTGGTTGATACCATAATGCACCAAAAGGTTTTTTTTTGAAATTTTTAAGGTCTGATAATGTAGTTTCATTGAACATAAAAATCAAATATGTCCTTAGAAGAAATGATTCTATAATCCTTTCCAAAAAGAAAAAAAACTTAAAATTAAGCTTTGTTTAGTGTTACACAGTGGAGAGCTCATAAAAGTGTTTGAGAGGCAACAAAAAGTCTTATGTGTCACTGTCTCTTTAAGGGGCATACATTTTCACTTGGTTTCACGAACATTCTGGAACCTGCTACATCACGTGACAAAATGTAACGCCATTTTAGGTGCCCCTCCCCCCCGGACTCCTGCCAGCCATTGTGGGCCATGGAGCGCACAGAGGGAGCACGTGCTGAGGGTGCTCCCACTGAGGGCGCTGCCGTTGAAGGCGCTGCCATTCAGGGCCCTCCCGCTGAGGGCCCTATAGTTGAGGGAGCTGCCATTGAGGGTGCTGCCGCTGAGGGCGCTCCCGTTGGGGGTCCTAAAGCTGAGGGCGCTGCTATTGAGGGCCATTCCGTTGAGGGTGCTCCCATTGAGGGTGCTCCAGCCGAGGGCGCTCCCCATGAGGTGGGGCGGCCAGATATTGGCGAAGCGCCTCCACCAGCTGTTTCAACATCCGAAGAAATGGCTTCCCAAGAGCCCCAAGCTGCTGTCAGCCTTGGTGCTGAAAGCGCTGTGGATGTGTCTGAAGGCGACCGTGGCAGAGGTCCTGGAGGCCCACAGGTTCCCGACCCAGAGGCTGGAGTCCCAGAGGCTCAAGGCCCACAGGTTCCAGATTCAGAGGTTCGAATCCCAAAGGCTAGAGGCGCAAAGGCTCGAGGCCCTCAGGTTCCAGGCCCGAAGTCTGGAGGCGCAAAGTCTCGAGTTCCCCAGGTTTCAGGGCCAAAGGCTGGAGGCCGAAAGGCTGGAGGCCGAAAGGCTGGAGGCTCAAAGGCTAAAGGCCCAAAGGCTGAAGGCCCACAGGGTACAATCCCAAAGGCTAGAGGCGCAAAGTCTCGAGGCCCAAAGGTTCAAGGCGCTACGGCTCAAGGGTCACCGGTTACAGGCCCCCAAGTTGCAGGCCCACAGTTTCCAGGCAGACAGGCCCGAGTTGCACAGGCTCAAGGCGCAGAGTACCTAGGTGCAGGGGCTCCTCCAGTCACACAGGCTAGGTCCCGGGGAAAGCGTCGCAAGACCGCCGCTGGTAAAAGTCTTGAAAGGGCCATGAAAGGTATGTGACTTTTGAACGTGGTTTTTAAAAAATGTGCCGGGGAGAGGGAACGATGACTTGGGAACCTCAAAGGTTCTGTGAGGTAAGATACCTGTCCTGTCGTGGAAAGTACCGAAAGCTGACAGGCCTCTCTGACAGAAAGTAAAGACGGCCAGGAACTGGCCAGTGAGTTTGGGGGACTCGTGACACTCAGCTGATGGTATTTTTGGGCCTTGGCAGGGTGCTGTACTTGTTCCCTTTCCAGTTGTGACAGCTGTAGCGGACACGACATTCATGGCCACGCCTCTGTGACAGAAACTAATGGCCATTCGCATCAAGGAGGATCTGACAGGGTCAGTCAGTTCTGGGTGTAGTGACTGCAACAGCTTCTCTGCTGACAGTTTTGAGACGCAGATTGGCATATTTGTCACTCCACGAATGCGGGAACTTGGGAACCTGAAAACTCTAAAGGTCACTTGACATGAAACACCTATGGGGAAGGTGCAGGAGGCAGCCTGGTCTCTCTGACAGAAAGTAATTTCTGCTCACCATGACGAGGAAAGAGACCTGGCCTCTTCATTTTCGGCCTACACAGGGTGCTGTATTTGTCTCTCTACAAACAGAGGAACTTTTGTACCTCAAAAGATCGAAAGCTGCCCTGAAAACTGAAAGCTGTAGGGGAAAGTGGAAGCTGTACCCAGCCTCTCTGACAGGAAGTTGTGTCATTCTGTGCTGAGGAGAGGCCACCTCAGCACGGTGATGTATTTGCTATCCATAGGTAGCCTGGCCAACTGACAGGTTCTCAGGTTGGAGGATTAAGGGCGTGTGCAACACTTTTTTGTATGTACGCGTGCATCTGTGCGTGCACATGTGTGTGAGCGTGCATCTGTGCATGACTGCGTGTGTATGTGTGTGTGTGCGCACGCGTTGTGTGTATGCACGCGTGCTGTCTGTGTGGTGTGTGTGTGTGGTGTGTGTGGAGTCTGTGTGTGTGTGGTGTGTGGTGTGTGTTGTGTGTGTGTCTGTGTGGTTGTGTGTGTGGTCTGTGCGTGTGTGTGGTGTGTGTGTGTAGTGTGTGTGTTGTGTGTGTGTAGTGTGTGTTGTGTGTGTGTTGTGTGTGTGTAGTGTGTGTGTGTGTAGTGTGTGTGTGTAGTGTGTGTGTTGTGTGTGTTGTGTGTGTAGTGTGTGTGTGTTGTGTGTGTGTGCGTTGACACCCCCACCTCCGATGGATTCAGTTTGTGCCCCCTGCAAGTGTGGGAATCAGCAGTTGGGTTTAGAGGTGGTACCTGGCGGCTTCAGCAGAGGAGTGCTCCCACTGGCTGTGCAGGCACACGGGCAAGCATGCACATGGCCTGGAAGCTTCGAGGCCTTGAGCCCTCTGCAGGCGGCCTTGGGGGCGGGGCGAGGGGCGGGGCCTGGGTTGACCTCTGCTCTACCTGTTAGCCAGGGCTCTCTCGGTGCACACCTCCCTCAGTTTCAGAAGCTGCTTTGAGGGCTGTGGATCCCAACCAGCAGGGGAACGTGCCTGAGTGTCCTGGCCAGCAGGTGAGTCGTAGGACCACCGGCTCTGGGAAGGTGGGAACACGTGTCTGTACCATCACACTTCAGTCCAACGGGCTAAGAGGTGTGAAGACTTATGTGGCTTTGCAGGATATTTTTCAGCACAAATGAACAGAAGGACTTTTTGGTTGGGTTTCCCCAGGAAAAAGACAGAACCGGAGCACTTACTGTCTCCAAAAGGCAGCTCATGGTTGTAGGCTTTTCTTATAAAAAAAAAGGGACCAAGTTGGTGCTGGTGTGTGCTGCCTGGAGCGTGGGCTTTCGCGCGCTCTGGCTGCATCATTTCTGCTGAAGGGAGATAAAAGCCAAATGCGAATGGGTGGGCAGTGACCCTGATCATTTAATTAGCTTCCAGGAGTATCTCGTGGAATTTTAAAAAATTAAGAAAAGTAAATATTTCTGGGGAAAAGTGGATTTGTTTTCATTAATATAAAGTTCTTTCAGTTTTTTTTCCAAAGGACACACTTTATTATTGTCTCAGAATATGTACCAGTTTTTTTAAATAAACAAGACGTAAGAAATTAAATCCATTTCCCACAAAGCTAAGGCAGAATTGTCTACTCTTAGCACTTACATTTCCAAAAGACTAATTTCAAAGTACTGTCAGTATTTCACAGATGTTTTTAAAAAAAATAATTCTTCCCAGTCTTCAAATATTCTTGCCTGTTTTGCTTGCCAAATTTAGAAGGGCTCTTTACATTAAAATTCCATTTTTTTTATTCTCCAGATTTATTTTGGTGAAAAAAAATCAGATATAACCTTTCAAAAATTACATTAATGTTTAACATGCATTCAAATAACTTTCTTTTTTTTCCAGTTTAAATTTAGATAAGAAACGAGGTTGCTTCACAAGTCAGTTCCAGGTCCCGCTCCCATTCCCTCCCCTCCTCCCGTGCCCTCCCCCCAACCCCCCCCCCCCGTTATCCCCTCATTCCCCCAGGGAGGGTGAGGCCCTCCATGGGGGTGTCCATAGTCTGTCATTTCATATAGGGCAGGGCCTAGACCCTTCCCCAAGAGTTCAGGGTGAGAGTGCACCTCACATTGTTCTATGGGAGTCCAAAGTCCGTGTGTATACTTGGGATGGGTACTGATCTGCTGCCCAAGGCTCAATAGGTTCCCTAGGCCTCCTCACTGACACCCAAATTCAGGGGGTATTGATCAGTCCCATGCTGGATTCCCAGGCTGATGCCTGGGATTCAAGAGTTAACCTTTGTCTGGTCAGCTGTTTCTGGGGGTTCAACCAGCCCAGTCTTAATCCCTTTGATCATCAGTCCTCCCTCTCTGTTACTGGCTTTCTTGAGTTCAGCTCAGTACTTAACCAGCCAGTAAATGAAGTTTCTGTTTCCCAGACTCTCTGGCCATAGGATTGTAGGCTGGCACTCCCCAGATCTATGTCTAAAATCCATATATGAGAGAGTACATGCCATGTTTCTCTTTTTGTGACTGGGTTACCTCACTCAGGATGGTTTCTTCTAGTGTCATCCATTTGCCTGCGAATCTCATGATTCCATTACTTTTTTCTGCTGAATAGTACTCCATTGTGTAGATGTACCACATTTTCTCTATCCACTCTTCGGGTGAGGGACATCTAGGTTGCTTCCAAGTTCTGGCTATTACAAATAAAGCTGCTATGAACATAGTGGAACAGACATCTTTGTTGTATGAATGGGCATCTTTTGGATATATGCCTAAGAGTGGAGTTGCTGGGTCTTGTGGTAGGTTTATTCCCATTTTTCTGAGGAATCTCCATACTGATTTCCAAAGTGGCTGTAGGAGTTGGCACTCCCACCAGCAATGGAGGAGTGTTCCCCTTTCACCACATCCTCTCCAGCATAAATTGTCATTGGTGTTTTTGATTTTAGCCATTCTGACAGGAGTGAGATGGTATCTCAGAGTTGTTTTGATTTGCATTTCCCGGATGGCTAAGGATGTTGAGCACTTTCTCAAGTGCCTCTCAGCCATTTTAGACTCCTCTATTGAAAACGCTCTATTTAGTTCTGCAGCCCACTTTTTAATTGGGTCCTTTGCTGTTTTGGAGACTTGCTTCTTGAGTTCTTTGTAAATTTTGGAGATCAACCCTCTGTCAGATGTGGGATTAGTGAATATTTTTTCCCATTCTGTGGGCTGCCTTTTTGTCTTGCTGACTGTGTCCTTTGCCTTACAGAAGCTTCTCAGTTTCAGTAGGTCCCATTTATTAAACTATTAAACCTCCTTTCAATTAGGTTTTTCACCTCTCTCCCCTCAAACTTTTTACTGTGGCTATTAACAAGGGAATATTTTTGAAATAGTTCGAGTTCCTAAAGTTTTTATTCTGTAAAAGAGAAGTTACCAAAACTGCCTTAAAATGGACAAAATGGCCCAGTCTTAGCTCTGCTGAGCGATTTAAAAGATAGCACTGCTCTGATAAAATCTTGCTTAGCAACTTTTTCCTTAAATTCCGTTTGTACTCCCTGTCAAGTATTTTTTGTCTTCTCTCGTGGTATGCCCAGCCCCAACTTTACTTTTTACTTTAAAATTTTGCATAAGTGTGTTTTAATTGTGCAAAGGGGTTTCATTGACATTTTGTATATGTATATGATTATTTTGATCCTATAACTCTCTATACTTATTTTTCATTATGTAATAAACAAGTATTACATGAAATGATAGATACACAGCACCTAATAAAGTAGGTCTGAGAGACAGGATGCATAACAATAAGTGAAAATAATTAGTAAATGAAATCAGATTTTACGTTCCATTCATACCACCCTTTCAAGGAATTTATTCCATGAAGCTAGTGTACATGGTCTAGATATATAAGCATGGGGCTCCTTTCTCCTAAGGAAATGCTGAACCATAAAAAGCTTCTTACTATCTCATGGTCTGCCTCTTATTGGTCTATTTGGGTAAATGAAATATTGAAAATTAAGTATTTGTTCACTTCAAATTAGTATGTCTGGGTTCTGGGTTGATTTCAAGAAGTTTACTCTTTTATATGACAGTTCAAGAACATTACTAAAATTTTAAATCATGTTTCAAACAACTTAACTAATTTGTTCATCACATTACATCATGTAATTTGGGATGACTTTGGAAGTGATGACTTTTAGAAATGAAGATGCCAAATAAAGTATTTCTAAACTATACGCATTCCTTTTCAATGAGAATTATGAGTAAGATCTTATATAATATAACCAGTGTAAGATAATATAACCATATAATGTGATATAATATAATATAACCAGAAATGGTCAGTGGAGGGAGCAAGAGTTTACAGTGACTTTGTTGTCTTTTTTTATGAACTCAAAAACAAGCCATGAGTTTAAAGTATGATGAATCCCAAGATATCGAGGAACAGTTTATATTGCGTCTGCCTCCGGTAAGCAACTTTTATATCTCAGAATAAATGTCTTAAGTGTAAAAGTGTAGTCTGCTTAGGTGACATTTACATTTCAAGCTATAAAAACTCAGAACATTTGCTTCCCAGAAACCATGTTCCATTAAGCAGTCCTTGTAGTGCATATTCTTCTCACAATATTTCTTTCTTCCTGTATATACCATCAATCATGTGGGTTAATTCCCTGTCAAAACAGCTATGACAATGACAATTACAGATCATGCAGTCATTTATCACAAACATTAACAGACAATTTTCTGGACAGTCAAGGTAAGACTGTTCTAAAATTCTTTCTGTCATCTCAGAAGAGGTGGTTGGAAAGACTACTGCAAATTCATCCCCAAGCAAGGTTGTCAAACTCATTTTAACATTAGGCTTGACTCCTTTTCTCCATTGATAACCATGTTCAAGTACTATTTCATTTAGGAGGCTATGATAGAGGTGGTTGGAAAGCTATTATGTATTATGGTTAATTAATGTGTGTAGTGAACTGTAGCTGAAGCCTCTCCTAAGAACCTACAGTGGTAGGATAAGCAGTAAGAAGTAAAACTGAAAAGCCGACAGAAGGCACCAAATGCAGTTCCTAAAAGATAATGACGAAATCTGAGTTGAGTTCATTTAACTTGTTTTATACAATTCATGGGCTCTCACAGTATAATAGCATAGTTAACATTTGGGAAATGTAAGGTTTCATTTAAGGAAGACCCTTTTTTTAAAAATTTGAATTAGAAACAAGCTAGCTTCACATGTTAATCCCAGCTCCCTCTCCCTCTCTTCCTCCCCTCCCTCTTCAGCCCCCCCCAATCCCCATTCCGTTCCCCAGGGAGGGTGATAAGGAAGACTCTTAACTAGACAATCTTTCTGATTTTTAATTTACTTCCTTTTTAGGAACAGGCTTATGCTGTTAGGAATATTATACATTCTAGAGGTGTTGCCATGAAGGATAAACTAAAAATTGACTTTGCTTGTAAGTAGTTAATATCAATTTACAATATATTATACAATAATTTGATACAGATTGCTATGTACCATACTATACTATGCATTAAAGGTATGAAAAAATAGAGTATGTTATCATTCTAACCTTTAGAAACCATACATGCACAATGCTACAATCAAATGCTTTATTTATTTATTTTTTTTTGGTTTTTATGAGACAGAGTTTCTCTGTACTGTTTTGGAGGCTGTTGGGCCAGCCTGGCCTCGAACTCACAGAGATCTGCCTGCCTCTGCCCTCCGAGTGGCTTTCTTTTTTAAAGGAATGTATTTCAATGAATGAAATTTGCTTTTAGTGATAACAAGAAAACAGTTGCTACTTTTGTCACCTTTGCTACCATTAGAAACAAAGTTATTTTTGAACTAATAACCTACAATATGTGAAAACAATATATGTATATATATGTGTCTTTCTGGAAGTTACTAATTGGGTATTGATTTTTAGCTTTTCAAAAATAGCAAGCTTTGTGGAAGCACTTGTTTATCACACATACACCTTTATTATTCAAATTCTTGGAAACTAAACAGTCCATTGGAATGTCAATATTAATCTTCTCTGCTTTTCTTTAGCTGATGGACATCATGCAGTTGTTCAGGTAGACAATGTCTCACTGCCTGCTAAGCTGGTTAATTTGCCTTGTGTTATCGGAAGCCTGAAAACTGTTGATAGAAAAACATTTTATAAAACAGCAGATATTTCTCAGGTATGAATTTTTTTGAGACAAGGTCTCCTCATATATCCCAGGATATCCTCAAATTGAGAATGCAGCTGAGGGTGATTTTAAACTTTGAATCCTTCTGATCTCAACTACCACCTGCTGGGCTTTTAGACACGCCTTTCTGCACTCTTGTGCTGAGGACCAAACCTAGGGCTTCGTGCATGTTAGACAAGCACTTTAGCAACTGGGTGACATCCCCAGATCTACAAAATCTTGTTTAGCGTTTTAGTGCTGTGGACCAGGTCCAGGGCCTCATGCATGCTACGCAAAGTGCTCTATTCACTGCTGAGCTCAACCACCACCACTAGGCTGATTTTCGTAATCTGGTTCTCATACCCTTTGTGGAATCTTCAGCCTTTCTGCCAGTATTCTGTTCTACTTGGCAAATGGCTAGTTAACATTTATAATCACCGGATCAATTGCATGGGAACAGAATGCCATGCTCTGGTTTGGTATCTAATACTTAACTTCTTATTCCTCTACTTTTACAAACTCCTGCTCCCTGTTTTCCATCTATAGTGACTTTCATCAATTTAAGAATATGAATGGCTAAGGCCTTTTTCTTCATTTTCTACTATAGCAGTGTGTTAACTCTGAAGAAAGTTTCTTACTTGTCATCTCTGTTGGTGCTTTCTGATTTCCTCTCTAAATCAAAATGCTAAAATGTATGTGTTTAATGATATTGCTTCCGCAGTGGTAAACACTAGGTAAAAGTCAAATCTATATATCGTGCTGCAGGGAGAAAGAAGAGAGAGAGAAGGGGGAGGGAAGGAGGAGAGGATGGGAAAGGGATATAGTAAGGAATCTGAATGTATATTACATAGTACTTGGTTTTTTGGAAATGCCAAGAATCTTCTGTGCTCCAGATTTCTTGTGGTCTGCTCATGTTTTATTGCTAACCAATATTTAGGGCGATAGTAAATTTGTCTCTTTTTGCTAAATATAGATGCTTGTATGCAGTGCTGGTAGTGAGCCTCAGTCATCCCCAGAAGAATCAGCTACCTGTACTGATCCTACTGTAGCTGGAAATGATGAAGAGAAGATAGAGAAAAAGAAATATAACTGGAAGCATGGCAGTAAGTCATCAATCTCTTGCTCATCTTGGCTCACTACATTTATCTCTTGAATTGCAAATCTCTATGAATCAGGGACCTCTTACCTGGTTCATAAACCTTATTTTTCATTTTTAAATATTTTTATTTCATTTTACATTCCAACCACAGTTCTCCCACTGCTCCTCCAAACCCCCCCTCGCCTCCTCCCTGTACTCCCCCCCCCCCCACTCACCTCCCCACTAGCCCAACACCAGTCTGCTCCTTCTCATGGGAAAGGACTCCCATAAGGAGTCAACATAGTCTGACACAATAGGTTGGGGCTGGGACAGACCCCTCTCCCAGGTATTAAGACTGATCATGGCATCCCACCATGGAGAGTGGGTTCCAACAAGCAGGCTCATGTACAGGGATAATATCGTGGTCCTACTGCCACTGAGCATGGCATCCCACTTTAAGGAATGGGATTCAACAAGCTGGCTCATATACCAGGTTTGTATTATGGTTCTACTGCCAGGTGCCCCTTAGCTAGTCCAGGCTTCACAACTGACTCCTACATATGGGGGGCCTAGTTTTGTTTCCTGGAGTCTCCACATTTGGTATGGAGTTCATGGGTTTCCATGAGCTTGGTTCAGCTGTATCTGTAGATTTCTCCATCATGATCTTGACCTCCCTTGTTCATGTATTCTCTCTTCCCTCTCTTCGACTGGACTCCTGGAGCTCAGCCTGGGTCTTGGTTGTGAATCTCTGCATCTGGTTCCATCAATTACTGGATGAGGGCTAACCTCTTATTTTTAAAGAAAAAAAAAGTCATGTCATGAGCATGACATATTTCTTTTTTTATTTTTTAATTTAAATTAGAAACAAGCTTGCTTCACATGTCAATCCCAGTTCCCTCTCCCTCCCTTCCTCCTCCGCCCTCCCCCTACCAGGCCCCCCCAGTCCCCCACCCAATCTCCACTCTGATCCCCAGGGAGGGTGGAGGGTGAGGCCCTCTGTGGTGGATCTCCAGAGTCTGTCATGTCATCCAGGGCAGGGCCTAGGCCCTCCCCCAAGAGTCCAGACTGAGAGAGCATCCCTCATTGTGGAATGGGCACCCAAAGTCCATTTGTATGCCAGGGATAAATACTGATCTACTACCCCAAAACCCCATAGATTGCCTAGGCCTCCTCACTGACACCCACATTCAGGGGTTCTTGATTAGTTGCATGCTGGCCTCTCAGCCATCAGTCTGGGGTCCAAGAGCTCCCCCTTGTTCAGGTCAGCTGTTTCTGTGGGTTAAACCAGCCTAGCCTTGACCCCTTTGCTCATCAGTCCTCCCTCTCTGTCACTGGGTTCCAGGAGTTCAGTTCAGGCTTCAGCTGTGTGTGTCTGCCTCTGCTTCCATTAGCCACTGGATGAAGGTTCTTTTTCCCAGACTCTCTGGCAGTGGGATATTTCTTAATCAAATTCATGTAGATATAGGACAGTCATCAGTCATATGACATATTTCATCATGTGTTTATTTTAGTTACTCCACCACTTAAGAATGTCAGAAAGAAACGATTCCGGAAAACAACAAAGAAGGTTAGTCTCCTGCTGTTTTTGTTTCTGCTGGGTGAATTAGGAAAGGACTATGAGAGGGAAAGAAAGGTAGAAAGTCAATTGGGAAATTCATCGATTCATTTATATGTCAAATAAACAATACCCACCAGATGTTGTGGTACGTACCTACCTGCAATCTCAGCTCTTGGAAGTGAAAGCAGAAGGATCATAAGTTTAAGAAAAATCCCTGGCTACAGAATGAGACCTTGTCTCAAAAATGGAAAAAAATTAAAAATATGCACAAGCCACAGATTTATGAGCTAGCAGTTGGGACTAGAGCAGTAACAGTAGTAACAATGAGCAGTTGTTAGGGAGTTAGAAGAATCATGAATTTGACATTTCAGCTCATGCTTTTAATTTTCAACTGCTATCAATTTAAAGGCAAGCATGTTGGTTACCTGTGATCTCAGCATGTGGGAAGCTGGAGCAAGAGGATTACCTTCAGTTTGGAGACATCTTGGATTACATTGCCAGTATTAGGCTAGTTAGGGATACATAGTGAGATGATTTTTTTCTAAAAAAGAGAGAGATAAAGTTTTAATTTGAACTCATCTAGGACTGAATAAAGTAGTTCTGCTTAAATCCATAACCCTACTTCAGGTGAGCTACAGGAAGAGTACAATACCTTGGAATCATTTAAAAATTCAGTAAAAAAAACTTTGAAATAATCAGATATTCATATGCAGTTGGAAGAAATAGAAGTTTTCCATGTACTCTTTTCCACTTTTCCCCTTTGTAGCATCTTACAAAACTACAGAACAATATCACAAATGAATTAGTGAAATTCACTAATCTTAATGAAATTTCTCATCAACCTATACTTATGTATTTTTATATGTGTTTAGTTCTATGCAGTTTTGCTATATGGCTAGATTCATGATCCATCTACATTGTCAAGATGTTAAACAGCTTTATCACCACAAAAATATTATTCACAATTGTCCTTTTATAACTATTTATACTTTCTTCTTGCCTTACATCCCTGGTCTTTTCAAGTTTATTTACATTCATTCAGTGTGTGTGCATGCATGTGCGCAACAAATGGAGCTCACAGGAAAATTTGAGAATCGATCCTAAGCATCGAACTCAGGTCATAAGAATTGATAGCAAGCATATTAGTGTTGAGCCACTTCATTAGCCACAAACATATTTAGTTTTATCAGGAACTGCCATACTATTTTCAGAGGGAGTATCTCTTTATATTAACACCAATCGTATATGAATGCATTCTCTACCTCCTCACTTGCATTAAGTCTTGTCATTTTTATTTTATGTTAGCCATTTTTATAAATGTGTAGTGATTTTAATATGTTATTAATTTGTATCTTTTGGATAGATAATTGCCTTGAATTCACAGCAACGCTCCTGCCTCATTGTCTGAATGCTGGGACTGCAAATACGAACCATGACACTTGGCTTCTTTGCCCATTTTCTAAAATGACTTGTTATTGTTAAGTTCCAAGAGTTCTTTTTCTATTATGTTCATTAACTAGTCTTTCATCATGTATGCATGGTTAATTAATAACTTCTCATAGTTGATAGCTTGAGTTTTTAGTCCTCATCACAAGAGTTTGGTTTTTTTTTGTGTTTCTTTTTTTTTTTTATTTTCCAGTTTAAATTTAGATAAGAAACGAGGTTGCTTCACAAGTCAGTTCCAGGTCCCTCTCCCATTCCCTCCCCTCCTCCCCACAAGAGCTTGTAGACAGTAAGATTTTTAGTTTTGATGAGGTTTAATTTATTCATGTTTTTGTTTTAAGGAATTTGTTTTTTTATTATTAAATATAAGGAGTGTTTTGCTTAGCCCACATACTGAAGATTTTACATTTATGCCTGAAATCCATATTTCAGTTTTATTAAAGCACAAGCTTTAATTGAAGATTCCCCTTCTCCCTTGCCTCTTCCCCCTCTCCTCCTCCACCTCTTCCTTGGGAATATGGTATGGGACTGTTTATGGCTTCTTCATTCTGCTCCACTAATCTGTGTGTTGATCTCTCCACAGATACTGTAATGTGGTAAGTCTTGACATCAGAAGATTGACTGCTACCACTTCATTTTGCTTCACCAATATTGCTTTAAAAATTTTAGAATCGGTGTCCTTCCATATGAATTTTAGAATAAGCTTGCATATGTCTACAGAAAACCTTGTCAGAATTTGGAAACTGTGTTAAAGTTGTAGGTCAGCTTTTCTAATTTATGTGTTAACATTAGCTTAGTAACCTGCCAGTCAATGAAATTTGTCTACCAAACATAAAAGAAGTTAAATATAGTTATAGATCTCTTTAAGAGTGACTTAAGTAGAAAAATGAAAATATAACATTGTTCTTTGCTGTGCTTTACTTCATAGGTTCCTGATGTCAAACAAATGGATGAAATCAGTTTCAGCGAGGTACAATAGTGGTCATAATCTTCGTTGTTTACTTTAATATGCTTTATATAAACATATGCATACATATATATGCACATACACTGGGAAATAATTCTTTAATGTCTTATGACAACTTCTGGGGGTAAAAAACGAACAGTTTTGCTAGTGTTACCATGCATTGCAAACTGCTTTCCCCCTTGTTTTCACTTCAAAAGCCATTCTTTGGAGTTCAGGGTTCAATTTACCAAACAATTGCTTGAACTAATGGGATTTCTCATCAAGAGCCTTCATTATATTTGTGTCATGAGAAATTAATTGCTGTGAAGTAATCATTTGAAACTGTGTTCAAATGAGAGCATGCAGATAGGATCTGATTTTTGTAGGAACACTTTAATAATAAAGATGGAAAAATGAAGTCTGGGAATTTGAATTTTAAACCAAGTTATTTACAAGTAACTAACATGGAATTATTGTCTTTGCCAATGAGTCAAGGCAAATAATAAAACATAAATGTTGAAAATCTTTTTCATAGAGTCATAGACAGATAAGGTTAAACATTTCAAGTGATTTAATTGTGAAAAATGAGCTTGTTATAAAAAAGACAGATTTTGGATAGATTCCTTCATAAATAGCACTATTTAAGTTGGACGAACATTTAACACAGTCTAATCATTTCAGTCTGTTAACATACAGGAAAAAGGTATTTACATAAAACTGGATGCTGACTGACATTACTGTTATCTCCTTCCACGCTTTGCTTCAGTATGCTGAATCTCCAAACGTGGAAAAAGAACTGAAGACACTGCTATGCTCAGATGCTGAAGCCACCAGTGTCCGTATCCTTTACATAAAAAACTTGCCCTATAGTCTGGTTCATCTCCTGCGCATATTCTGACAAATCTCACCTTTGCTTGATGGCTTTGCTTTTGTTTGAGATGTTGAAGATCAAATTCAAAGCCTTACTATGCTAGGCAAACTGTGCCACTAAGCAGCACGCTTAATTCTCACTTCTAGTGTTTAAGGGTCAGGTTTGACGTGTATAACTTAAGATTTTTGAAATGTTATTTTCTAGCTAAAAGCGGTAAATACAGACAATAGAAGTATATTTATGTGTGTAATTTAATATAAGGCAGTTCTCCACACTAGGAATGCAGATACAGTTATCTAAATTTGACTGAAATTTAGTATTAAGAGCCCTTTTAGTTAAAGACCCACTTCCCTTTCAACTGTGAGTTCTCTCTGCCTTTGCTTTTTCCTTGACTATTATACTTTCAGGCTGGGAAGTCATTGCTGATGATGAAACCAAGGAAATAGAAAGTCAAGGGTTCATCTCAGGCCTGCCAGGAACCCCACAAATGCGTGGTCCTAGGTCATCAGGTACTTTATTGAAGATAGAGGAAGAGCTTCATATAAGGGAAGTGTTCAGTGTGTGATAGGTCCACAGACTCACGGAACAATCACAGAAAAAGGGGCCTTTGTCCTTACTCCTCACTGGTCCTCCAGTGCTTTTAGGGTTTTTAGATTGGAATTCTTTTCTTTTTAAAACAATATTATTTTATATAACAATCCCAGTCCCCTCCCCCTCCTGTCCTCCCACTCCTCCCCCTTTTCCCCACCCTATCCCCATCCACTGCCCAGAGAGGGTGAGGCCTCCCATGGGGAATCATCCGTCACATCATTTTTAGATTGGAATTCTAATCTTCTATATGCCCTGATATTCAACTTCCTATGGGCCCTTATATTCTCTAGATATCTTGATAATTGAATACACAGAAGAAAGTTAGTGTTTCACATTCCTTGTCCTTATTTTACAAAGGGAATACTCTTCCCATAGGAAAATAATTTATAAAATTCACTGGTTGCCCAGTGAATTTCATCGTAACACATGTACTTCTATTTGGGGTAATGGTCATTTCCAAAGCTTCAGATTGGTTCATTTAATCCTTGCTTAAAATCAATAGACTATGATATGCTTCGAGAGATGCTTGGTGATTCTGGCAGTAACAGTAATGATGTGGAAGAAAATGATGATAAAATTGAAGATGAGGATGATGAAGAAACAAGTGATGGTGATGATGAGGATGAGGATGATGAAGAGGATGAAGAGGATGAAGAGGATGAAGAGGATGAAGAGGATGAAGAAGAAAAGGAGATAGACAATTCTGAAGCGGCCTTAGAAAGAGAGCTGCAAGTCAGATTTATTCAACATGGCTTCTATGAAACGGACAAAGATTACAGGTTAATAAGTAAGTCAGAGGAAAAGACAAAGGAATTGGGTGGGGGTGGCAGTATAAAAGGCTAACTCTGAACATGCATTATGTGCAATGCTTAGTTTTCAGAAGTTTTTTATCCCTGGAGTTTTACTTGATTTGTGACTTGGTTCATTATTTAAAGCTATATTTATATACAAAAATCCTTTCTCTACTTCTTTTAGTCACAAAAATTCAGAAATTGATTCATTACAAAGAAAAAAAGCTCCAACAGATTTATAAAAAAGCACAACGCCAGAAAGAGCTCCTTAGGAATGTGGAAAACTTGACCCTTAAGGTAAGTTCTCTCTAGCTGTTAAAAACATCCTGGTCCCTTGCTTTCAAAATTCCATTTCTGTGTTTCCACTCATGCCATCACTATGTAGTTCATTCATAAACCCAAATAACTTCTTAGAAACTTACACTAAAACATTCCTGTTTTATTTATCTGAATAATTTTTATAATTAAGCATTTTTTATGGGGAATGGGACTGGGTGACCGGAGGTAATGACCCATACTGAGTACTTACTATGCAAACAGTGCATAAAAGAGTTATGCGTTATTATCTAATCCTCAGTTCTCCGCAACATAGATCCTGTCACCATTCCCACTTTATAACAAATTAAAACTAGCTGGGTGTTGTGGCACATGCTTTTATCCCCAGTACTAGGGAGGAAGAGGTGAATCTCTGTGAATCTGAGAACACCTGGCCACACATACCAGGTTCCAGGTTAGCAAGGGTTGCACAGTACGGCCTTGTAACAACAACGATAACAAAAAAGAAAAATAGAATTAAAACTCCAAGAGGAATCATAGTAATTGCCAATACATAGAAAAAGCCTGTTGCTTATATCAAAATTTATTTATTTCAGTAAAAAATGACCAAATTAATTTAAACTTCTTATCATGCATGCTGAAACATGAACGAATTATTTTATTTTTATGGATACATTTTTCAGAGTTTCAGCAAAAGGAAAATATATTGCTATGTCACATTTACTCCCATCTTGATAGTAAGCACTAATCGAATTCTTTGCTGGATTTCATTTTTTTTTCTTTTTTTTTGTGGAGCGGCAGTTGTCAAAGGGAAGCAGTTTGGCATAGAGCAATCCCCACTTTGGCTGTAGTCCTTTGGAATAGCCAAAGGTGATAGATATAGATACATCTTGAAAGATTCACATATCTGATGCCATTGTGATATGTGGGATTTACATATATGTGGTTTGTATGTAGTGTTAGAAGTAGCAATATTCTGTTCTAGTGAGAGGAAATGGAGGGTTTATACAACACTAGGAAAAATGTAGCATATAGACATTTCACCCATTTACTTGAGGACAAGAAAAAAATGTTGTAGAGAGTACATAAAATAAGATTGGATTGTTAGGCAGCAGTTTTTATGCTCCAGTTTTTCTAAAAAGACCGTTCTTCCTATGATTGACAGCTTTCTTATCAAATATGTGACAAACTGTGTTCTGTGGTTATCTCTTCCTTTAAGATACATCTTTTATCACTGATACAATTTTTTCCAGAGGCATTTCCAGTATGTTTTGGGGCAGCTTAACATATTGGAAAAACAAAAGCGTGAGGAGGTAAGACGCATGTTTTTAATTAAATAAATTGCTATGAAGAACTCACCCATCTCTAATCTAATTTCAGGCCGTTTGTCTTACAAGAATAGTGGTAAACATATATTCTGAGTAAAAATAGCAGGGTGGATGAAGATATTTTTGAAAATCTGTTCATTCAGCAGTTATCGAATACCTCTGGAGTGAAAAGCACTGGATAGAGTGTTGAATAAGACAGATAAAATACTTGTCCTCCAGCTGACCTGAGCTAGTGGAAGCTCACTGATTCTGGACTGACAGCGGGGGGAGCCTGCATGGAACTGAACTGGGCTTTCAGAATGTGGATGACAGTTTTGTGGCTTGGGCAGTCTGTGAGGCCACTGGCAGTGGGACCAGGATTTATCCCTAGTGCTTGAACTGGTTTTTTACAGCCCAAGGTGTACCTTGATCAGCCTAGACGTAGGGGGGGAGGGCCTTGGTCCTATCTCAAAGTGATGTGCCAGACTTTGGGAGGTTTCATCCTTTCTGAGTAATAGATGGGGGTGGGCTGGGGGGAAGGTGGGGAGGACAGGAAGAGGGGGGGAGTGGGAACTGGGATTGGTATCAATTCTTTGATATAGTAAAAAAAAGAATTTTGTCATACTTTTGGAATTGTAATGAAGGATGGTTTTAAAAATAAAGCTTAGAATACCAGAAAAAATTAAGATAACTTTTATAATGCTTCTCTGCCTCTCTCTCCTTACAGATTTATCACCTGCGAGAACAACTGAAATGTTTTCTGAGGGAGTGAGGAAACCCTCAGCATAGCTATAAGGTGGATTCACCTTCCAGATGAAGACCAGGTGGAACCACTAGATACTTTGTCTTGACCAACTGTATTTGCTTATTTGAATATTTTTCACTAGTTATAGTAAATTTAAAGCTCATAGTAATATAGAAGGGAACATTATAAAATGCATTATAGGTTTAGAGACCTCCTCACTCAACATGAGATTTTGTTTTTCTTTGTCAATCTAAGATTAAATAAATATGTGTGTTTATTTTTGTCTTTTGTTCTATATTACCATGAGATCGTTCAGCGGTGCTTGTCAAAGGCAGATGGTGTAGCCTAGAAGGATGTACAACTGTTTTACAGATGTTAACTTCTCAAAGCTTGTTTTGAATATTCCCTACAATATACAAAATAATCAGCTTGTCAGGTTGTAATCCCAGCATTCAAAAGACAGAAGCAGAAGGGTCACAGTTGAAGGCCAGCCTGGGATATATACGAGACCCTGTCTCAAAAAGCAAAATAAAATAAAAGATAAAAACATGAAAACACCCCTAATTTCTACCAAGGGTTGGATCCTGTCACAATTATTTAAATGCTTACCTCTCAGCAATAGGTGCCAAGTTGTGCCCTTCGTTTCTCAGGTTAAAGGCTGCTTTCCTGCTTACCGAGGATTTCATACTACTTATTTTCACTCTATGGTTAGGTATTAAGGGGGGTAACTGGTTGTTATTCTTTTTTTATTTTTTTTGTTTTTACGAGACAGGGTTTCTCTGTTTTGGAGGCTGTCGGTCCAGCCGGGCCTCGAACTCACAGAGATCCGCCTGCCTCTGCCTCCCGAGTGCTGGGATTAAAGGCGTGCGCCACCAACGCCCGGCGCTGGTTGTTATCCTTTAGCTAAGAGAAGGATTAGAGCAAAGATGTTACCCTTATTTTAGTCTTCCCACTAGAACTCCCATAAGAAAAGATTAGTAAAAACTAAATTCCTGTAATACCTATGAAGCCTTCCTTAATTACCCTGGATTATTTCTTCTTCTTCTTCTTCTTCTTCTTCTTCTTCTTCTTCTTCTTCTTCTTCTTCTTCTTCTTCTTCTTCTTCTTCTTCTTCTTCTTCTTCTTCTCCTCCTCCTCCTCCTCCTCCTCCTCCTCCTCCTCCTCCTCCTCCTCCTCCTCCTCCTCCTCCTCCTCCTCCTCCTCCTCCTCCTCCTCCTCCTCCTCCTCCTCCTCCTCCTCCTTCTCTTTTTATTGATTCTTTGGATTTCACATCATGCATCCCAATCCCACTCATCTCCCTCCCTTGCTTCCACCCCTCAAAAACCAAATTTAAAAGTGAAAACAAAAAACCAACCCAAACAAAGTAAAACAGAAATCTTAGCATGGAAGCTGTAGTGTGGTCCAGTGAGTCACACAGTCCACCCTTTTAGTCTATACATCTTTACTTGTACATGTTCATTGCAAAGAGTCACCGGTCTGGTTTGAGGCCTCAGGCTTCCACTACACGATGGATACCGGGCCCTCACGGAGACTCCTCTTGGATGTCCTGTTGTTGTCCTGTGTGTGGAGATCCTGCAATTTTGGATCTGTGGGACCGGCCCCTTCACATGCTCCTACAGTTCATAGACGAGGTGGATTGGGGTGGGCTGCCTTGCAGTCCTGGTTCTGGGCCTGGGTGGTAGCTGGCTTGATCAGCCTGCCAGTTCTCTCTCATTGTGACTACCCAGGCAAGCTCTCCAGCACTGCACCTCCCAGCTCACACGCTGTAGCAGAAAGAAAGGAATGGGGCTAATTGTGCTCTCACACCATCAGGTCCAACTCACCCACACTCATTCCACGAGCGCCAGCTCTACCGTTTTGCCTAGTCGAGGTCCAGGGCACGCTCTCCAGATTGCTGCATTCGGCGAGGGGCAGGGCCAGCTCTTCCACTGTCATTGTCATGCCCCTGAGGCCAGCTCTCCCACCTGTCTCAGGTGGCAGGGAGGTGGGAGGAAGAGGGCACATTTCCCTTACCCTTGCCACCCCATGGCATATGAGGGAGAGGGTGGGGGCCGCTCTCCTGCTCTCACACCCACAGGTCCACTCACCTGTGCCCCCACCGACAGGATCAGCTCGAGTATGCAGCCCAGGTGAGGTGCTGTGGGCGCTCTTCCCGTGTGCTGCAGCTGAGGCCGGGCGGGCGGACCAGCTCCCTCCCTCTCCTGGCTCCAGGGTCACCTCTCTCACCTGCTGCAGAGGGCAAGGGGGGGGGGGAGGGGAGGGCTTTTTCTCATCCATGCCACACATGGCAGATGAGGGGCAGGGTCAATCCTCTTGCTCTTATACCCCCTAGGCCAGCTCATGGCACCCCTACCAACAGGGTCAGCTCTATTGTGCTGCCTGGGTGAGGTGTAGGAACCACTCTCCCGAGTGCTGCTGCCAATGTGGGGCGGTTCTCCCACTCTCGTGACATCAGGGTCGTCTCTACTACCCACCACAGGCCGTGAGGGGTGGGGGAGGGGGGAGGTCATCTCTCCCTTTCCCACTCCACCACATAGCAGATGAGGGGTGGGGTCAGATCTCCCATGTGAGTTCGAGGCACCAGATTACCTGTGGGGTCAGCTCTATTGTGCTGCCTGGGTTAGGTACATGGTCCACTCTTTTGTGTGCTGCAGCTGGTGACGGGTAGGCTCAGCTCTCCCAGTCTCCTGAGCCGGGAGCTGTGGGTGAGCCACGTGCAGCAGGTGGCAAAGGGGGAGGGGCAAGCGGGGCATCTTTCACTTGCCCCCACACCACCTGACAGACCATGAGGCTAGGTCTCCCACTCTGGTGTCTTCAGGGTCAGCTCACCAGCACATACGCTGGCAGGGCCCGTCCTACGGCGATGCCCTGAGGAGGTACGGGGCCTGCTCTTCCAAGTGCTGCAGTTGGTGAGGGGCAGGGCCAGTTCTCCCCAGCACGGCAGTCAGTCAGGAGCATGGTCTACTCTGTACAGCCCTATCCTCACTGCTTTCAGTGATAACAAGAGCCGCGGATGTCAACACAGACTGTGGCTGTGGCAAGGACAAGGAACCAGACATGGCCCCTGGCATCAGCTCAGTCCTGGATGACACCATGGCCCTGGGTGCCATCACAAGATACTCAGATCTGCATGGCTCTGGTAGAGGTTCAACCCTCAGACTACCTGGCTCTAGGTAGGGTAGCTGCCCGAGCCCCCGACGTTTGTGTGGCCCTAATTGACAATAGGACATGGACATCAATACAGACCCCCAGCTGTGGGTGGACCGTGGACCCAGACATGGTTCTTAGCAGCAACCTAGGCCCAGATATCACCATGATCCTGGTTGGCAGTGTATCCCACTTAGATTGGCATGGACCCAGCAGAACTGTGGTCCTTGAACCGCCATATGTCCCCAGATGTGACCCCAGATCCTTGGCATCCGCAGTGCCTTTGATGGAAACAGGAGCCTCAGACATTAATGCAGACCCTGGCTGTGGCAGGGCCCTCGACCCAGACATGGCCCTGGCTATAGCTCAGGCCTGTGCAACACCCTGGCCCTGGATGGTAGCACATGTTACTCAGGTCTACATGGGCTCAGTAGTATAGCCCTCATGAACCAAGAAGGCCACAGATGGAGGCCCAGATCATGGGTATCAGTGTGGTTTTTGGTAGCAACATGGGCTCTAGACATCAGCACAGACTCAGGCAGCAGTAGGACCAAGGGTCCAGACACAGTCCTTGGCAGCAGCCTCTGGACTGGATGTCGTCATGGCCCTAACTAGCATTGCAGATCACCTAGATCATCATGGCCCCAATGGCAGTGTGTCCCCCAAATACCAGAATGTTCCCAGGTGGCAGTCCAGACTCTGGGCATCTGCTCAGCCTTCAATGGTAAAAGGAGCCACAGACATTGACACAGATCATGTCTGAGGTAGTGTCATGGACCCAGACATGACCCACAGCTGCAGTTCAGGACCAGACGATACCATGACCCGAGGTGGCAGCACCGACCACCCAAGTCTCTATGACCCCAGCAGTGGCAGCTTGACTCTACAAGACCAACATGGTCTCAGTTGTTGGCCTGGCTTGCCAGCCTCTGCACAGCCCTCACTGGCAACAGGAGTATGGACATCAACTAAGCAGGGCCATAGACCCAGATATGACCCCTGGCAGCCATCTGGGCTGGATGTCATCATGGTCCTGAGTTGCGGTGTAGGAATCCTGGATTGGCATAGTCCCTGTAGGGGAACATCCCTTGGACATCTACATGGTCACAGGTAGTGGCCCAGACTCTGGGCATCCACAAGGCCCTCAGTGATAACAGGTGCCACAGATATATCAACACAGACCCCAACAGTTTCATCAGGGTCATGGACCAAGTCATGGCCTTGACTTTAGCCCAGGCCCAGACATCCCTGGGTAGCAAGCAGAGTATCCACCTCAGCCCGGATTTCACCACCCTTGCCTCTTTAGATCTGTGTCTCTCCCCGGCACATGAATTCTTCTCCGTCTCCTCCTTTCATCACACTGTGCACTGTGACAGTCCACATGGGCTTCTGGGTCAATTTTGTGTTTGTTCTCCAGACCCTGCCAGGCCTATAAACCTTGAGTTGTTTGTAAACCTGGACTTCTTTTTTTCCATATATTTTTTATTTAACTTTTTACGCATGTCACTTTCAGTTCGCTCTCCCTCCCTTCCTCCCCTTCCCCCAATCCTTCCAACCCCTTACCCCAACTCCACCCCCCCCTCCACTCTCCAGGGAGGTCAAGGGCCTCCATGAGGGATTTTCAGGGTCTGTCACATCATCCCAAGAAAGGCCCAGGTTCTTCCCCATGTGTCCAGGCTGAGAGAGCATCGCTCCCCATGGTATGGGTTCCCAGAGTCCTTCTGTATGCCAGGAATAAATACGGCTCCACTCTCCATGGTCCCACAGATTGCCAAGGCCTCCTCTCTGTCACCTAGGTTCGGTGGGAGGGTGTCTGGATCAGTCCCATGCTGGCCCCTCAGTCATCAGTCTGGGGTCCATGTGTTCCCCCTTGTTTAGGTCGGCTGCCTCTGTGGGTTTGCCAGCCTGATCTTGATTCCTTTGGTCATCATTCTTCTTTGCAAACCTGGACTTCTTAAGGCCTCCACAGATGTAGTCTGACCCCAGATGGCGTACAACCTGACTTACAGATTGTGACTTCTTGAACCTTTTTACATGGAAGGAGCAAAAAAAAATCCTCCAGGCCTTCTTGACCTAATTACCACTCAAAAGCCTCATATGCTGAAAACACTATATTGTAGACAATGTTTTAACATAAAAATGTTGGGGGGGGCACATTAATACTGGAGCATTTTCTGATAGGCAATGACACAAGATGCCATATGTACTGGATTTCTATAGGGGAAATGATTGGTGATGGTATCCTGAAATCTTGCTCCATCCACATGGGTCATTAAGGTAAAACTTAGTGGCAAGCTGACTAGGGTCTTAGTGGAACACCCTGTGACTTTCCCAGAACACCTGAAGTGACTTGTAAAGGTGACTACAAGACTGGTTACTCACCTCCCTCTCTTGATGGAAGCTACCATAATGCAGAGTCTCATCTGCCTTCTTCATTCTTGTAGGGTGGAAGACTTTCTGCTTCTGGGGGTCAGCTGTAGGCAACAGGCATGCTCACCTACAATATAGCACTGCCAACTCAACAACAGGGGTTCTACCATCTTTGATGTCATCTGAACCCTTTAATTTCACCAGCATGATTTGGATTTTATAGCACTATTCCATTTTTGTTGTCTCTGTAAGTAATAAACTGTATATCTGGGCATCTTGTCTTATCACAAGCTGACATCTTGACAACTCTGAAGATGTAGAAAACTGGGTAAATATTAAAATAATTTTTTGAATTAATTATAATATTAATTATAAATCTATAGTTTGGTGGATAGTATTTGTTGAGTGGGATAAAATATTAAAATGAATTTCCCCTATTCAGCTTTACTTTTTGGATGTGCTGCAAAATCTTAAATTATAAATGTGACTTGCATTTGTACTGAACAGTATTGCAATGGACAGGCAAGGAAAGAAACATTGGTGCAGATGAAGGACTAACAGCTTTCTTTTGCCATGAAATGGCATTAAATAGGTGATCATTATAAGTTCACGGGGCTATTTTAACACAAAAAATATACAGCCACAATCTCAGAATAAAGGATAGAATGTAACTGAATAAACATGCTTCCATGGAAACTCACAGCAGTAGCCCTGATTTTTCTCATATTGTTTGACCTGCTAGAAAAGCTCCGAGCAATGAGAAAATTTAGGAACCATTACCTATCCTATGAGGCAAACTGTCTTTTGGAAGGGGAAACTTGAAGGGGCCACAAACAGAGGTAACTGTGGCCTGTTTGGCAATATACCTGTGCCTTCTTGACCTATTATCTTCTCTTTCCATCCAAAATACTGGAAGAGGGTAGAATGTCATAATTGGAGAGAATAACCAGAGGAACCGAAGTAAACAAATACAAATTTATTCTTTTTAAAGCAGAATTCAAGGATAAAATGGGAAAAGCACCACAGTGAGTGGCAACTGAAGTTAACCCATTTGCTCCTAGCCCCAACCCTTCATCCCAAACTTTTATACAGTTGCATGCCATACTTGACACCTCCCCTCCCCCGGAATCCTGCCCCTAATTTTCATCCTTTTGATCCATTCTTGCAGCCAGTAAACAGCACAGCAGACTTCAGTCTGCCCTTATCACTGTCTTGAGAACAGCAAGGACATTCATAAGGTCTCCTTTCAAATATGGCATCTAAAAGAGGAGGAGGCCACTGGGAGAGGAGCCCTGGCCTTGAGTCTTCCCTTCTCCCACAGTCACAAGTGTTAAAACAGTGAGAAGTCTTTCTCTGTTCCAAGCACCAGGTTTCTGCAGGGAGGCCCACAGATTGGGCTACCCAACTGAGGAGCTAAGTTTCCACAGCCTTAGGGTAACGTCTCCAGGCTTTCTCCCAGGACTGTTCATAACAAGGCAGCAATTTTGCTAGTTATCTGTCCACAGTATCAAGGGAAACTGGATGGAATTACTGACAGAAAATAGTCCCAGATCTACCACTGAAAATATGAGTTCAAAGAATGCTCTAGCCTGAAGCTGGGCATGGAACCCCCAAACCCTTTTAAAACATATACCCCAGGAAGCAAGGATATTTCTTAAAACTAATCTGATCTCCCAGGCTTGGCCTCTGCCTTTCCTGAGTTTGTTTTTAACATTTGTGGTCTGCCAGACCGGTTCACAGAACACACGAAATCTCAATCAGGTTTCTCCACAGGGAAAGACTGCCTCATTCTGGGTCTTGCGAGAGACACTGAGAGCCTTTATTCCAATTTTTGCATTCTGAAGAGAGGGGTACATTTTCTCCTGGGTGGAAAACTTTCTAGGGAACTATGTACAGCAGCCTTATGTCTTCCAGCCAGTCAGCCTTCCCTAACAGCTGCCAATTAATGTGAATCTACTCTGCTCTAACTGAAAACACAGCTACCTTCCCAATGGCTTATTGTTCCCCATCGAATTCTGTCCAGAATAAATTGCCTACACTATTTGATGACAAGTCCAGTAAACACATTCCTCATCACTGATAGTAATCTCATAAGTCAGAAGGTTTTCCTTAGGCTACTAACCCAGCAACTCACACACTACCTTCCAGTCTAGGGTCATACATTACACAAGACTCCTTTAGGAGCTACAACACACAACTTATCCCAAAACATAGAACACATTTTGCTAAATTCAAGCCCAGTGTGGACTGACCAAGGAACCATTTTCATCACTGCATGCAAACTGCCTACGTATGCAGCAGTTACTGCTACTGGCCCTTGAACAATATACTCACCTCAGGCATTGCAGGTAAACACAAGATGGCAAAGTGCCAGTGACTCCCTTAGTGAGGCTTCAACCATGACCTGCTGCTTCGGCCTACCTCCAGCACAAATCCTACGTAACGAGATCAACATCTTTTCTACCAAGTCTAGCCCAATGTAGTTGTCACAGACCCTCAGCAGCCTAAGAGCTCTTGAGTGGGTGGGGAATAACAAAAGGATTCTCCTCATAAAAACTGTTCTATTGCATCTGTCCCCCTGAGGCATAGGGAGGCACATATTTCCCAGTTTTTGAGTCCCCTGCTCCATGTCAAATTTGTCTGAATACTGCCCACAATCTAGGACTCTACAAACATGTCTCATTCTGAGAATGACCTGATTCTGTGTGTGATGCTTGCTTCCCAAATGCTTACCATATAAGCAGATACCCTGAACCTACGCCTGGGTTGGGGAGAATGCAATCTTGGCTTCTCGAGACAAGCTACCACTCTTCCTCCCTGGAATCAATCAGTCTAGGTTCCTAGCATTTCTGTATGTTAGTCAAGGTTTGATTTATAACACAGACCTCCAATCATCTCACTCCCTCCTGACCTTGGTGGCAGCCATTTCATTCTGTAAGGTCATGATCCAGACCTTAGGAACTTAGGGGACCATAGGATGTACTCTGTGTCTTAGCCTGGCAAAGGCTAAAATACATCTTTTGTGCCTTTTTTGTGTGTGGAGTGGGTAAAGGTTAGATGTGCTCTATTTTAGTTCCTTAATCATTGTTTAGGGGTGGCCAGAAAAAAAAGTCCCAAGGCCCAAGTCTCGGTGGAATAAAGTTTGGAATTAGTGAAGAGAACACAATGTCTCTTCATGTTTGATTACTCTGTGGCCACAGACTTCCATTGCTTTGGTCTTAAGGTCAGCTCACCTCAAATATCAATGAAGAGAAACATCGTCGGGGCACAGCCAGGGTGTATCTATCTTCCCAACCAGAGACTGAGGCTATCAAAGAGCAAGGCAGAGCACTAATTCTTCAAGAAGTATTAGAATTTAATGTGTGAGTGAGGCTGGGAGAGCACTGATGTACAGTAGATATGTAGAGTAGGTATGCATGTATGGATAAACAAAATTTAGTCAATTGCAAGGCTCTGGGGCAGAAGCTCTCTGTAGAAAGTAGCCCAAGTGGACTTTGTCTCTGTTCCAAGTTCCCCAGCCAACTCTTCCCACCTCCACACTCAATTTTGAACAGTTGCTGGACAAAGGAATCATGGTATATACAGTCTAGAAAAAGTTAGTTCATTTTGAGGACTGGGCTCACATTTCAGAGTTAGCAACAGTTTTATGCACAGGAAGACCTTGCTGCTAGCTGAGTGGAATGTGGCCAGTTTTCTGATTCAAGTCTAGTAGCATTTAGGTAGGGACCACTATTCTGGCTGGTCAGTTTTAACTTTCCAGTGAATAGCTGGGGCTAATCAGCCACCTCATCTAATCCAGCCTAAGCTATCCAATGGTTATAGCCTGGAGAGTGGTAGGCTCACACTCCCCTAAGATAGAGGGTTTCTTTTCCTTTCACACCCAAGGGGAGAGAGACAGACAGACAGAGACAGAGAGAGAGAGGCATCCTTGTTGAAGATGCTGCCACTCCTGCCCCAGATCTGTGAGGACGGACTCAGAAGACCAAAGAGTGGCTTCAGAAGCGTTCCTGAGCATCTCAAGGAGTCTCTTGGGATGCCAAGGTCTTAAAGAAACAAGAGGATCGTGGGAAAATATAAACCCACAAGAATTTCTTTAGTGTTTCCAAGTACAGGGTGGAAGCACGCCCACAATGGATTCGGAGGCAGGAGAAACTGAAGATACTTGAGTAAGAAACATGTAGCTAGAATCCTGAAGGTGAGAACTATGCTCTGTAGCTGAAGTAATAGTTCTATTATGTTGCCCAGACTTTTCTCAGGGGCACTTTGGAGAGGTGTCTCAGGGATACCCACTTGCCTCTATCAATGGGGCCAGAGAGCAGGACTAACCCCTCCGGGGATCCATAATGCAGACACCCTAGGGACATTAGGCTTTTCCCTCCGTGATTCCATGCTGAAGAGAAAGGGGTCAGTGGGTACTGCTTAGCTCTGCAAGGTTATCCTCTGCTCCTCATCTGGATGACAGGTGTGATTTACCTTTGCCTGGGCTGCAACAGCAGGATAGCACAAGGGCCAGACTCAATCTTAAGGACTGAGGAAGCTCACTTGTCCTCCCCCATCCCCCGCCACATCTCACATACCATCAGCTCCCTGCCGCTGCCCCAGGTCCACATATCTCTGGTTGAGTAATGTGGGGCCAGTGGGTACTGGAAAGGTTGGACAAAGGGTGAGGGAAGGCATGGACAGGAATCAGGAAAAGAAATGGACTACAGGATGGGGATCTGACTCCATCAAGAGGCCAGCAGGGTATTGGCAGTCATATCAGAGCTTCGCACACTGGGAAAGGCGTGGCGGAGCTTCTCCATGATGTCTTCTAAGCATAGGCTGACATCCTGACTCTTTGACCCCACATCATCTAAGTTGGAAGAGAGAGATAGGGAAAGATTACTTGAGATCTCCTTTGTAAGAAGGAAGTCAAGAGGCTTCTGTTAGCTGGATAGCGAACAGGTAGACATTTTTAGAAGACACATATGAGAGAAACAGTTAAGAAATCAATTATACACAACCCTAGTCCCAGTTCTAGTAAAACTTTGGGCAGGCAATCTAAGCTAGGACAAATTGCTGGAGGAAGGCACTACATGGGGGAACTTACCTGCTGCCTCAGTGTCTGGAGTAGTCTGGCCCTTCTCTCGGGGATGACTGCCTTCTGACTGGAGTGGAGAGGATGCTAGGGATGAGCCTGCAGAGCCATTGCCATCTGATTCAGTAGGTGGCTAGCAAGAGGTAAGACATGATTAAGTGGCTTTGCCTTCCTGACCCCATTCTTAGACTCCCGAGCTTTGAAAGGGACCTTAGAGACCTCATGCCCATCCTTATGCCCTGGGTCATTAGGAAGCTTTTCATAACGCCATACACTGTGACTTTCCCCTTTAGGATACCCCTTAGACAGTTCAATTATCAATTAGATTCTTCCTTTGACAACAGGAGGCAAAGGTTCCTTGTTCTTATCAGAATGGCACTACACCTAAAGGTCTCTTGCTGTCATTTCAACTTAATTAAGCTATTCAGAGCCCAATTTTCTCTCGAGTTTCATTGCTGCACACCTGATTCTCGGTTCATGGAATAACAGCCTATGTTAGAAAACTCTAGGAATTCACTAAACACTGTCTATCGAACTAGAGAGAGCAATGAAATGCATGCCATAAAAAGGATTATGGGGGCCTGACTGGAGGAGAGAAGGAAGTAAACTAGCTAGAGGGGGAGAGGGGGCACCGGGAGGGCCATGGGGGAGAAGAATAGGTGAGAACAAAGTATGATGACACAAATGTACAGAGGCCACAATGCAAATATGACTTGGAATATGAACTTAAAAATTGATCAAGAAAAAACCAAGGCTGTTCCTCCGATAATATGGAGAAGGGGTGCCACTGTTTGTTGCGTATGATGACAATGACAGTTGACATATATGATTACTGTAATATATTCCCAGTATATTGCTGAATTCTGCAACATGCACTTTTAAAGTTTTTATTTGTTTGTTTTTCGAGACAGGGTTTCTCCGTGTAGTCATGCCTGTTCTGTAAACCAGACTGGCCTTGAACTCACAGAGATCTGCTTGCCTCTGCCTCCCAAGTGCTGGGATTAAAGGTGTGCACCACCAACGCCATCACATTATTTGATTTTTAGAGTGGTTACACAATCCTATTAATTTTTTTATTTCTTCTTCCTCTCTCCTCTCTCTCTCTCTCTCTCTCTCTCTCTCTCTCTCTCTGTGTGTGTGTGTGTGTGTGTGTGTGTGGTGTGTAAATCCACATATGCTATGAAGCATATGTGTAAGTCACAGGACAACTTCGTGGGAGTTACTTCTCTCTTACCACCTTTATGCGAGTTCCAGGTATTGAACTCGGATTGTCAAGGACTTTACTAGCTGAGCCATTTTGCTGGTCCTTTTTTGTAAAAGATTTATTTTTATTTGTGTGTATACATCTGTGAGTGTATGTCACATGTGTGTGGGTACTTCCAGAGGTCAGAAGCAGGATTCTGAACCCTTGGACCTGGAGTTACTCATGGTTCTGAGCTGCAGTACATGTGTTCTGGGAACTCAGGTCCTCTGGAAGAGCAGCAAGCATTCTTAACTGCTGAGCCGTCTCTTCAGCTCCATTGATTTGTTTCACTGAAAACAATTTTAGCTGGTATTATTATTACCTCTGTTTTACAGATAAGAGAACCAGGGCCAGATAAGGTTAAAGAACTTTCCCAGCACCCCAAAGTCACTAAGTGAGCACTGTATTCAAACATAAGCTGTCTGACTCCAGAGCTGCCTGACCTCCCACAGACAAAAAGGGCAAAATGCAACAAAAGAGCCCTTTATTGTAAGATATTTCTCTTGCCAAACATGTCCAAACCTGAAGATGCCACATTTTGGATGGCGTGCTGGTGTGTAAGCATGCGTGAGTGGGCACACATCTGACTGGACATGTATGGACATCCATGTGGGGCCCAGAGAACAACTTTGGGTGTCAGTCCTCAGGTGTGGTCCACTTTTGTCTTCTGTTTTCTTTTCTTTGTTTTAAACGACAGGGTCTTTCACGGACCTGGAACTCACCATGTAGGCTAGGCTGGCCAGCAAGCACAAGCAATCCATGTCCCTAGCACAGGGATTCCAAGCGTGTGTCACCACATCTGACTTTTTAAAAAAACATGGTCTCTGCAGGTCCGACCCTAGGTCCTTGAGCTTGGTGCTTTACTAACTGAGCCCCTTTGTTTCCGACGGTTTTTGAAGTTTGTTCTTTTAATACCAGATTCCAATGGGCTGTGAACTAAAAAGTCCTTCCCTTGCCTCCAGGCCAGAGGTGGTATGGAGTGAACTCGAAGAGGACTGGTTAGGGATGGAGCCATATTGCCCATTTTCTTCTTCATCCCAATTGCCAATCAGCTCTTCTCAAGAAGTCACCTGACGGCCACAGCCAGGGGGCACCCCCAGCTCTCTATGCCCTCCTCCTGAGTCAGGGGGTTCCAGCCTCACCTGCAGGAGTAGCTCCCTCAGTCGTTGCAGCTGAGACTCTAACTGCTTGTTGTGGTCTTCAAGGATCTGCATCCGGGTCTCCAGACGGCTCTTGTGCTGTCGCAGGATCCTGGCTTCAGCCAGAAGCTCCTCGTTGCGGTGGTCCGGAGTTGCTTCAGTGGAGCCCTCGGCCAGGGTGGGGGCCTCAGCTGCTTCCTCGTGCTGCCACTTCAGGCGCCTCAGCTCTCCCTGGAGAATCCTGCCAGGGAATTGGAAGCCAAGGCCTTGAACGGGGTCAGCCAGCTATCCAGATTCCACAGGTTCCCGTCTTTCCCAGTGTGAGGGGTCACTGTGCTCTCCCAGGCCAACCCCTGGCAATGCTCTGCTTGACATGGCCACAGCCACTTCCTCTCCGGTCTAGTTGACATTTACTCTGCCATCCGGAGGCCTTAGAGAAGTTAGCTGACATTTCACATTAGGGCTTTATGCTTTGGGGATTAATTTTGACCTTCAAAAGCAGGTAAGAACATGTTCTGCAAATAAAAGAGGCATTAGTGCCGATGGCTTACCTCTTCTCCTTATAGATTTCTAGATTCTAGGGGAAGACATAGCATAAATAAAGAGATCAGCCATCCTGCCTCTTCTCTCTACCGTCATCCAATTTGACCTGCTTTGAAAGCTTGTCATCAAGGAGACACTCCAAAGAGACAGCCTGCTTTCAGGCACATTACTTTCTGTTGTTTGGGCAAACAGAATCACTTTTCCTAGCAGTGCCTGCTCCCTACTGCTTTAATGCAGCAGTTCTCAAACCAACCCCAGAGAGAAGCCAGGCTTTTGAAAGTAGTCCACTCCATAGTATAGTGATAGTCTGTCCTAATGGTCACAACTAGTCCATAGTTCACACCACTGCCATCCCCTGCCCCTCATGCTCAACAACACTCAAACTGATCTAAGTCTGTTTAACGTGATGGACCACTAATTATGTGCTTGATCCTGACAATGTCCAATTGGCTAGAAAAGTGACCAAACACTTGCTCTGTGTGTGTGTGTGTGTGTGTGTGTTTATCTTTTCTAGACTGGCAACACACACTTTGCAAACTATTCTCACCTGCCTTCCACCACTCAAGGAGCACTCTGCTAAGGTTTGTCATTCCAAGGGAGGCATGTGGACCAGTGGCACTAAAATCCCCTAACAGCTGCTTAGAAACAGAAACTCGGGCCCCTCACACCCGGGAGTCAGGACTTGCATTTTCCAAAGCTTTGCCATTGACTCCTGTGCACACGAAAGCTTGAAAAGCACTGTGCCAAGAGGCTCTGCAGATGTTACTGCCTTCCCCTCAAGAGCCTTCAACTTTCCTCAGACCCATGCAGCCACCTCTTCTCTTGTGGGGATTAATGCCATCCCTGGTACTTTGTCTCTTCTGGTCTAGAAATGTGGTAGGTAATGTCATAAGCCCTTGGGACACTTTCACTCAGTATCAAGTACTAGTTTTAGTACAAAAATTTCTTTGAGAGCAAGGATAGGTTATAGTCTCTTCTGCATTTTTCTAGGGCTCTCTCTATCTGTTTCTAGTGGGCACTTGGAAAAGTCAGGGTTATTTTACATCTGGTCTTCAAAGTAACCCTGGGAAGTTGGTATCATTATTATCCCCATTATACAGCTGAGAAAATGGAAGATCATAGGATGTAAGTGTCTTGATCTAGGTTGTATAACCCACAAACTGTCAAGCCATCAGCCCCTGGCACCAGCACATGTTTATGCTATGGCCACACCTACCGGTTCTCATCTTCTAAATGGGCCAGGATCTTCTCTAGCTCGCCCTTGCTTTCTGTCCCCATGCTGCATGGAGCCTGCTGTCCAAAGGCTGGCTCCCTGTCTGTGATGGGGCTAGAGTGCCGCAGCAGGTACTGGTCCTCATCTCTGCATGGGTGTAGGGAGAGGAAAGGAGAGGAGCAGGTAGGTGCTGAACACAGACACAAGTCAGAGAGCCAGTTCTGAGATCCCAGTTCAGCCCCTAGGAAACATACGCTGACAGTTCCACTTTGAAGTCACATAAAGAAAGCCAGGCCTCAGGTTTAGGCTTTGGGAAGTTGAAAGAGGCAGTATCTGAAAGAGGACTGGGAGATATTTCCAGGATGCTGAGGTTTCTGATGTCTTCTCGGGTATAAAGGGAAAATCACTTTTCTTTCTGTGCTGTTTCCCCCTCTAGGTCCCTTTTCTTTCTCACCTCTCAGAAGGATCTGAGTCCCAGTGAGGACCAGACTGTTCCATGTAGCCAGCTGTCCCTGGGTCTTCTTTACAGGCAAGAGACCTCCCTTAGAGATGCAAGGGACTTCCCTTAGAGATGCATTGGCTCTGTCTCTGTGCTATAGCACCAGGGCTCCCTTGGGCCACACGTAGTGAACTTTCTGCCTTCTCCTAGGGTTGGTGTGGCATTTGATGGAGTTTTGCATCTTGAGCACAAGACAACAGTTCTTTTGTGTAACTTTAAACACAGGCTTTCCTGCCTCAAAATTGGGCATGGATGGATGGGATCTTGTGATATAAGGGGCCTGGATAGATGGCTTCTCTTACTAAACATTGTAGTCAGGAAGCAGCATTCTCTCCTCAGAGAATCAAGGACCCTAGCCACCAGCCTCCCATTCCTAAACAGTAGCAGAAGGATCCCAAGGACAGCTATTTCTGGAAAATTAGCAGCTGTGGAAACTCACATGCTGTCATCCGGGGACAGGCTGTCATTAAAAAAGGAACAATTTTGACTTTCCATCTCAGCAAGCCTAGAAAGAAAGAGCCACAGTAGGAGAGAAAGCAGGATATAGTGCCTGCTTCCATCCCAAGCACGGTAATGCAGGATAACTGGCTTAGGGAGCTGACCCCACCCCCAACCACCACACTAAAGACTGGGCCTTGCTGGCTATGGCTCATTCCACTCTGAATTTCCCCTAGCTCATTCTAATTCTCCTTGGACTTCCTAGGGTCCCCACCCCCACCCCCATCGAAAAGCTGTGGTACCTGCTGGCAAAATGCTCAATTCGAGAGTGCGTGTCAGCATGTGGCAACATCGGGGAAGATGCAGGTCTGAAAGAAAGGAGCAGAGATTCAGAGGACCAAAGGCAACTGGAAGCCTAGCAACTCACCACTCCCACCCCTGCACTGCCCAGATGGTAATAAGATACAAAGAGTGGATCCTACTCTGTTCCTTGCTGCTAGGGTTTCCACTTGGGCACATTTTCGAGCTCATGAGGGACTCAGCCCCTTCCCAGCACATAAGTGAGCGGGATGAAGTCACCACAGCCTCTGCTCGGCCACTCATACTCACGTCTCACTGCAGTCAGCCTCCAGCACTGATTGCACAGGCAGATAACCTCGCTGAGGGTGTTTGCTGAAATACTGCTTTGAGCGGAATTTATTCTTTAAGGTTGTGGCAAAGTCCCTCATGTTTTCACTGGATGTGGTCTGCAGGAAGACAGGACAGAGGGACTCACCCGAGTGGCTACCGGATACTATGAGGTGTTGTTGCTTCTCCACTGGAGCACAGAATGTGACTGGCATCCCACCCAAAAAAATCTCCAAGAATATACCCTAAACTCTGAACTCTGGGAAGGTAGATTGGAGAGGCGAGAGCCAGGGTGAGGAGAAAGGAAGATTATCATTTGACACTTTAAACATCTCTATCTGCTTAGTTTGAATCTTTTACAGTACACTTTAAGATATCATTTTTTGTCATTATTCTGGGTTTATTCGGGTAACCATATTGTTAAAAGTTCATGGGTTCTTTGCTGTCAAACATAGAAGGCACTATCTCATAGCAGGTGTGATGGGGGAAGTCCTGTACATTTGTTAATAAAGCACTGTTGGCCAATAGGAATCTAGATGGGTGGGACTAGGAGTCCAGGAGGATTCTGGGAAGGAGAAACACAAGAGAGTCAAGATGTAATGCCATGGGTGTAGGAAGCCCGGAACCGTTCTCCGGTAAGAGAAATACTTAGATTAATAATTATGGGGTAATTACTTAAGTCAGAGCTAGCCAGTAAGAAACAAGCAAAGGCCAACAGCTTCATAATTAATATAGCCTCCTGTGTGTTTATTTGGGGACTACAATGCGGCAGAGCCCAGGCGGCTGGCGGGGGGATAAACCAAAGCGGCTAGCAAAGAAAAAGCTTCTCTTTACAAAATGGTGTCAGAAGTGGGATTCAAACCCACATATACCCTAAACTCTGAACTCTGGGAAGGTAGATTGGAGAGGCGAGAGCCAGGGTGAGGAGAAAGGAAGATTATCATTTGACACTTTAAACATCTCTATCTGCTTAGTTTGAATCTTTTACAGTACACTTTAAGATATCATTTTTTGTCATTATTCTGGGTTTATTCGGGTAACCATATTGTTAAAAGTTCATGGGTTCTTTGCTGCCAAACATAGAAGGCACTATCTCATAGCAGGTGTCCTGGGCTTCTGTCTCTTACAACCTCCCTATGTCCCTTTCTGTGATTGTCCCTAATCTTAGGTGCAGAGTTTGTGTTGAAGATCAGCCAGTTGAAGTTGGGCAGCGGACAGTCACTTATCTACATTTTGACTAGTTGTGAATCTCTGTAATGGTATCTACAGTGACACCACCAGCTGACATGCCAACATAGATAGGAAATCCCACATGGTCCCATCCCTAGACGAAGAGCTACAAGGGACAAATGGCTGCTGAGAGAGAAAGAAGCATTCTTCTCCAGGGACAAGCTCCCACATAGGTTGTCCAATCACAAGTGGTCCATCCCTGGACACATGTTCATACTATCAAAGCTGAATGGACTCAGCAGGTTCTATATATATGTGTACACATATGTGTATATAAGTGTGTATGTATGTACACATAGATATGTAACAATAATTAAAGAAGACATCATGCATCCGGGAGGGGACACAGGAAAAGTTGGAGGGGTTACAGTGTGGTGATGCACTCCTCATTCATGAAGTTCTCAAAAAATAAAATTACTATATAAAAATAATTTTCATTGAATTTTAAAACATTTGAAATTTTGTTTATTTACTTTGTGTGTGTACACGCACACACTGGGATGTGTAAGTGGAGGTCAGAGGACAACTCGCAGGAGTTGGTTTTCTTCTTCCACTATTTGTGCTCTAGGAATCCAATTCCAGTCATCAGGTTTGGCAGAGAGCGCCTTTACCTGCTGCCACTTTTCTATAAATTCTGGGAATGCAGAAGATGAGCAGGAGGCAGAGGATTATCAGCTTACCTCTTCTAGCTAGTCTTCTCTGCTTGCCCTTTATAATACTTTATGTAAATGATAATAAAGGGAAACTAAAGGGCATGTGCCCTACTCCCACTGGTTCACATATTCCTGTGCTAAAACAATTTGAAGATAACACCTTAGAAAAGGAGATTATAAAGAAACAGGTTGAAAATGGAGAGATGGGGTGGGCAAGAAAGCCAGTTGGAGTGTACCAGGGTTCTGGAAGAATCTAAGGGAATGGAAAAGTATAAAGACATCGAGGGCAGGACTGGAGAGATGGCTCTGCAGGTAAGAGCACTGCTGCTGCAGGGGACAGGAGTTCGATTCCTAGTACCCACATGGAAGCCCACACTGTTTGTCACTCCATTTCCAAGGGTTCTGACACACTCCTCTAGCCTCTTTGGGCACCAAACATGCAAGTGGTTCATAGACATACATATACCCAGACACATAAAATTAAAAATGAATAAATCTTAAAAGGCATTGCGGGAACAAGCCCAGGACACTACAACTCTGTGGCTGAGTTCACGGACACTGACTGAGATGGACTCAGGCAGCTGCGAAGGGAAAGCTGCCAAGGAAACCAAGTAGAATTTGTGAGTATAAGTTAAGAACAAATCGCTTTCCTGTAATGGACTGAGTAATTTGAGCACAGACTTTGGTACGGGTAAGAAGGGGTAGAAAAAAACAAAACAAAACATCTGAGCGTTGGTGGCACAGGCCTTTAATTCCAGCACTCAGGAGGCAGAGGCAGGCAGATCTCTGTGAGTTCAAGGCCAGCCTGGTCTACAGAGTGAGTACCAGGACAGGCTCCAAAGCTACACAAGGAAACCCTGTCTCAAAAACCAGACAAACAACAACAAAAAATCCAAAACAAAACAAAACAAATAAAAAACCCAACAAAACAAAGTAGCAAGAAAAGACCCAATGATTTAGTACGAGAGTCATTCAAGAAGCTAGCCAAGAAAACACACATGAGAAAAGGGGTACCGGGAACCACCTGGCTCTTTTTTTCCCTTGGGATATTTTTGGGCATCAAAACAGCTAATGATGATGAAAGGCTGAGAGTGTCCTCAGTCAACTGTGGCCACAGTGACAGAGAAGCTATGATGGAAGATTAGAGGAGCCCGAATCTCCCAAACCAATGAGTCCCTACTGTTTGGGGACTGTTCCACCAGGAGAGCTGACATGCGCCAATGCTATGCAAAAGGGATCAAAGCCTAGTGTCTGAGAGGTGCCCACCCCTCCCACCTGGCGCAGAGATGCCATACCGGTGTGTAATACTCCATGATGGGATAGTGCAGCTTATTGCCTTTGCTGGCCCTGCCTGTCAAGAAGCAGGTCTGGCAGATATCCACATTAAACTGTTTCAGACTCCGGTACCTTGGAGAGAGAAGACATGGTCACAAAGACAATCCAGTGTAGCACAGTGACTTCACCATTTCCCCAGTCCAAATAGGCACACAGAAGGGAGTGGGGCTCAACCTACTATACCTAGCAGTGTGAAGTTCTCAACATGTGAATAGTCTTATTCTACAGACCGAAAATCCCCATGAAGTCACAAGTCCCAGATCCTAGGAAGTGTGGGAATGGGCATTGCTTCAGCCAACATTTAATGGGGGCCAGGGAGGAGTAAACATTTCACTGTTGCAGCTTTCTGACCAAAGATGGTCCCAAAGGCCCCCTACGTACACTGGAGAAGTTAGACCACCAATATGAAGGCAGTTTATTCACTAGCTGTGGTTAAGTTGGCTGAGGTTGTTTTCAAAATAACTGTTTATATTATGACAATATAGACAGTCTTTACCATCTCCTTCTCAAGGCAAGCTAAACTTCCCTAGTCGTTTGAAATGTCTTGCCTTTCATAATCCAGTATCTATCCCCAGGTTTACAGCTAAATAGCCAGGTTATCTTGGGCAGTCATGTTTCAGCTCTGTGTCTAGTTTGCTCAAGTTATAGAAAGCAGAGTGTTTGTAGCGATAGTGTATGTTAGTACTCTAAAAAACTAAAAGGCTGGATGGATTGAGGGTGGCACTCAGTGCTTGCCTAGCATGGCCAAGACCCTGGGTTCTGTCTTCAGCAGCATACTGACAAACTTTAGGCATTTTATGAGATCAGATAGCTTTGCGAAGGAATGTGTGGATTATAATCAGGGAGGTTTCAAATGAATTTCAATAATGTTTTATTCCTTAAGTTGGCTCTGGTATACACTACAGTGTGCTGCAGTCAGTTGACACTGTAACATATTACCATCTATGAAGTTCATAGCTGAGAAGAATGTGCAATTAACTTACAAAAAAACCTCATGAAATCTGCAAGTTTATGATTTAGTGTTGAGCTGCATTTGTAGCCATCCTTGGCTGCATCGCGGCAGGTTGTTCATACCTATGAGACCATTCATATCTATGATGCTGGTTGGGTCTCTTTTGTGAAAAATGCTGGCTGTGTTTGCTCAGACTTTCCTGGCAGGGCATCCACTAAGCCAGAAATCCCTGATGGGGCATTGCCTACAGATCTCAGTTTTTTTTTTTTTTTTTTTGGTTTTTCGAGACAAGGTCTCTCTGTATTGTTTTGGAGGCTGTCCTGGAACTCGCTCTGTAGACCAGGCTGGCCTCAAACTCCCAGAGATCCTCCTGCCTCTGCCCAAGTGCTGGGATTAAAGGCGTGCACCATCAACACCAACACCCAGTCAGGTCTCAGATTTTTAAACATTTATTTGCTATGTATTTTATGTGTATAGGTGCTTTGTCTGCATGTAAGCCTGCACTTACTGCAAGAAAGCATTGGATCCCACTATAGATGTTTGTGAACCACCATTTGGGTGCTGGGAATTGAGCCCAGGACGTCTGGAAGAGCAGCCAGTGCTCTTAACTACTGAGCTATCACTCCAGCTCCTGAGATAGAAATGCTATGAATACTATGCATGTGAGTACGTGTCTCTTTCCAATTCTGCTCTGGAATCTTTTGTGTGTAACCTGATGTTCATTTGTGACAGGAGTATAAATCAGGTTTCCACTTTTTCCTTTCTTTCTGGGCAGTTGATAGTGAAAAATTTGCTGACTCAACACTTGTTATAAAGATTTTTAAAGTAATGTTTGCTATATATTTCAAAAAATCTGTAGTACTTTGTATTACAACTAGAACGAAATTGTTTCCTTTCTATTTTTCAGAAGTTAAATATTTTTCAATCAAAAGGTTACAATAATACATCAGTAACACACCACAAATAAATTGTAAAGCATAATAATTAAATAATGCCATTTTGTACCCAGTTTTTGTGTCCCATGACATTTTCCCCATGCCAGCAGGTATCCAGTGCCATACCTGAACCCCTTGATGGGGCACTGCCTACAGATAGAGCACTTGGTCTGATGCTTTACTTGCTCAGCAATGGTGACCCGATGTAGAACGGCCAGCCACACCATAGACTGGGGCTCCAAGTTGACCCACTCTAGGAACTGGGAAGCTTCAATGACTGGCTTGCCAGTGCTCTAGAGAAATGAGAAATTCAATGGACTTGACTGTGCCTACATATCTTGAGTGCCAGCCAGCTCTTAGTGAAACAGGGGAACCAGCCCCCTTCCAGCGGTATTCACCTTCTGTCTTATCTTTTTTTGTTTTTTGTTTTTGTTTTTTTTTTTGGTTTTTACGAGACAGGGTTTCTCTGTATTGTTTCGGAGGCTATTGGTCCAGCCCCGCCTCGAACTCACAGAGATCCGCCTGCCTCTGCCTCCCGAGTGCTGGGACTAAAGGCGTGCGCTACCACCGCCCGGCCTGTCTTATCTTAATGGACACCCTTCCCTGAAGGACTCAAGATCCACACTCCAGAGAACCGTTAGTTCTGTTGTCCCATCTCAAGAAAGCTCCTTTACCTCAGAGTACTTTGCACCAAAAGCTGAGACACTGGTTTCCTTCCTTTCCACTCACCATTCCTTCCATCTCACTTCCCTCCCCGCTTGAGTCTACAGCTCCATACTTACAAAACGGAAGCAACTACGGACACTGGGCTCCACATTGCTGCCCCCAAATGCTGCCACTTCACCCAGCTGACGGGGCACTTGAATGGCTTCATGAAGCAGGGCACCAAGATGGCGTTGGTCACACTGGCTGCCTGAATTGGCCACTTGGCTGAAGAGGTCTGCTGGGCCATCATCAACAAGAGCCAGCCCCAATTTAGGAATGGCCAGAGAATGGTGTGAGGAGGACAAAGCGGAAAAGAACCACAGAGAAAGAGCACATCGCTGAACTAATGACTTTGGAAACAGGAAAATCTAGAAATTCATGCCCAATTTCAACTCCCAAGGGTTCTAAAAAGAGCATTCCTGAGTTTGGGGTAGGGGAATTAGACAGACACAAACAGGACATCATGAATGGGAGAAGAGGAAGGAAATGGACAGAAAGGGAGGAAAGAGAGTGATGAAGAGATAGAACAGGGAAGAGAAAGAAATTAACAAACAGATATTGATGTAGAGGCAGGGGAGAGAGAGAAAGACTTAGGGGGAAGAGAAAGAAAGTGGAGAGATAAGAGGAGGTATGTATGTGTGTGTGTGAGAGAGAGAGAGATAGAAAGAGAGAGAGATAGAGAGACAGAGTGCACTAACCAACATAGTACCAGACACGGATGTTACAATACTGGGAAAGGAGATACCTCCTGAACGTGGGAACACACACTAGGCAGCTTTCCCTACCCTCAAGAGAGGGCAGCTCTTCTAGGACCACCTCAAGCCCAGGCCAACAACCTTAGCAGCCCCCCTCTGGACATATTGCTTCAAACCTCAGCTAAGACCTAGAAAGTACACAGGGGGACTGAAAAACATCACTAGGTGTTGCAAGTCCTCCTCTGCTGAGTCAAAAGATCTAAATTCTGCTTATTCTGTGGCCTCCGTCCTTCCTCCCCCTGCACTACACCTTCCCACCCAACATCACTGCAGATGCTGGAGTTATACTCACACTGGAGCTTTTCCTTCACCTCGGTGCCACACAGGCATGCGATGCCAGTCTTAAAGGACAACGCTCGCATCTTTCCACTGCGACCACTAGGTTTAAAGGAAGAGACAGAGAACATGGATATATGTACAGGGCTAATATCTTGGAAGTCTTTTTCCTCACTGATTGCACCCAGCAGCCAACCATGCCCTAAGCTAAACTGATCCACGTAGACCATGGGAACAAACTCTTCCAACCATGGCCAGTGGAGATGCCTCATTGGATTGAGCCGGGAGGTTTCCAGGACTGAAAGCTTTTACCTATCAAAAACATTGAGGAGCCAGTTGAGGCTCATGTCTACACACAGCGGCACATTGATCAGGATGCCTCTTTCCTCCTCCAGCCGTTCATACAAGGCAGTCAGGCAGTGAATGACCTCCACCACGTCCATCACATGTTCACTGGCCTGCAGATCATGCTCATTAAATATCTCCAGAGCTGTAGTCAAAGTTACCAGATCCACTGGGAAGGAAAGAAAAAAGGGAAAATACAGCCCAGGGAACTGATGCTGATACCCAGGATCTGGTATCAACTCCAGACCAACCATTTGCAAATATGCCATAAATTTATCCTTTCCCATGACTCCCATACCATGGAAGAGAAAGGCACTAAGAGGTCACCCAAGTTAATGTATAGCCTGTCTCTGTACACATAAGTTCTTTCACATCAGTTTTGAGAAAATGATGAGATGTGAATGAACACACCTCTTACTCCCAGGGGATCATATCCCATTTTAAGTTAATCTGTTTGCAAGGTTTCTTTTGTCTTTTAAACTAATCTTGGAGGTACAGAGGACTGAGCCCTGTTCTAGGAAGCTTAGTCCTGCTTGCAAAGGGTTGTACGTACGTGGCTTGGTGAATGTGACATACACCAGGAAGACGTTTTAATTACCTGCGATGCTGAGTCAGCCTAGCTAGACACCTGGGACAGGAAGTTTAAATGAACAGTACCTCTGAGCAAGGCCAGAAGGGACAATACATCTGCAGTACGCTGATGATCAACTACAGGCACTTATCTTAACAATTCTGTTGCTGCATCTAATAACCCCAAAATGGCAAACCACGGATCAGACACTGCCTGCTGCAAAGAAGTTTCTTGGTTATCTAAGCTGGTTAGGGAAAGGGGACTAGGAGTCGGATAGCTGTGGAGTCACTTTGAAAACAAAGCTTGGGGTGAGTGAAAAGATCAAGTTTTCACGGTCAATATGTCCCGGTATTTGTAGAGTTCCCATCAAAACATCAACAACTCTGGCCAGGGTTGGATGCAAATGGGAAGAAGCAGACAGGTGGGGAAGAGGAGGATGATAGTGAAAGCCTTGGGGAGAACAACCGAGGACATACGGCGCAGGGCCTTCTGGACTCTGCGGAGCTTCATGGCAGTCCGGTAAGCTGAGAACTTAATGTTGTTCAGATCAGCTGCAAAGAACAGAAAGAGACTCACTTAGACCAGAGGAGGGTAAAGAAGAACACGTGTCAACAAGGATATGTAGGAATCAGGGCTGTTAGTGGAAGTGAGCTCTGATGTGACCACCAGGAAAACAACTTGGTATTACCCAGTAAAGTGGAACCTATACATCCTGATATCAAAAGCAGCTATATTCCACAGCAGTCATATGCAAAAGCTTCTTTACTAAGACTCATAATAGAAATGTATTTTATATCATGACCCAGTATATACACACATTTCAGAAAGCAATTCTTAGATTTAATAAAAATATAAAATTAATATAAAATCTGGCCCTTGCTAAGGATCTGTTGCCCAATGATAGTTCCTACTCTATTTCAACTTTTGAAGAATGTGCTGGAACATGCTAAAATAATGTTATGACCTACATACTAAAAGCATGCCCTGGAAAAACAGAAGCCACACACAAGAATTCCTCAGGAGCATCGCACATATTCACTCTAAACTAGGGACCTATGTGCTTGTCAGCAACAGAATGGGTACAGAAAGGCTATATCCAGTAGTATCCCCTACAGCAGTACTGCATGGATAAACTTGTGACATATGAGATATTTCTCCTAGTAGGCAAAGACAAGGCATGAAAGAGTCTCCCTCATTGTAGACTAACGACTGCCTTTCAAATCAGATTAAAATTCATGTCTTCAAGACTAACTCCCTAATGATGCTAAAATGGTTGGGGGGTGGATAGAGACTACGCTATTGAGGAAGATGCAGAGGAGCTGTTCTACCCTTTTAAAAATTACCTTATTTAAGTACAATGGACGTGAAAAAGCTATGTGAAATGACAGTTAGGAAGAAGACATGTATTTAATGTATATACCGTGGTAATTTTGGTAATAAGTATACACCATGAAGCTATCACCACAATCTGTGTCATACACCTATCCATTGCTAACAAAGTTTCCTCCCATCTTATTTTGATCAGTATTACTACTAGTAGTGTATGTTGCTGGTAAGAATACATGATGTAAGATTATTCTCTTGGCAGATTGACACATGAAAATAGTACTGTTAACTATAATATATAGCAGATCTCTAGGACCTATTCTTGTGGCATAACTGAAACTGGCCTATGACCATTAATTCCTTGTTTTCTCCTCCCCTAGCCTCTGACAGTCACCATTCTACTGTCTAGTTCATGAGTCTGATTGTCTTCAATTCCTTATATAAGTGGGATCATGCAGTGTTTGATCTTCTTTTCAAGCCTTATTTCAGTTAGCCTGACATTCTTGGGGTTTATCCATATCATCCCAAGGGTATTGTTTTAAGACTAAAGAGTATTACTCCGTTTTGTGCACATGGTACATGTTCTTCATCCATTCATACACTGATGGAGTATAGGACAAAGATAACTGTACACATTCCCACCACATATAGGAACCTTGCATTCTCACCTAGGGTTTGGTATAACTCAGTCATCTTGGGATGGTCCCAGCAAGTGGTCTGTGCCTGGTGGCTACAAACAAAAGCATCAATAGCACCAAATCACATTCCCAACACCCTTTGCAGGCACAAGCCCATTAGTCAGTCAAAGGTGGGTGGCGAGAAGTTGCGCAATGCAAAGATGAACTGTGCAGATACTAATACACTGGAGAGTATCATCACCCAGGCAGAACCTTAAGCACTTCGGACAAGTTGGAGGAAGTATTAGACCAAGCAGGGAAATCTCAATGCACAGAAGTGACTGAGTTAGCAAACTGAAAGGCAGGTGATGGAGGGGATAGGCAGGTGACTGACCGACTCCTGGTTCCGATGATCACTCACTTGATGTAGTAGGGAACTTTATTGGGAGAAATTGCTCTTTCCCAGGGAACCTGGACAGAAGCTGGTAAAAGAGAAGAGAAAGTTGGCCACTAGTATTCTTCAAGCATCCTGACCTTTCTCAAATTTCTGAATTAGATTCATTCATTTTATTTTATGTGACTGTTTTTGCCTGCATGTATGAAGGAATGTGCACCACACGTGTCCTTGGTGCTTATAGAGGTCAGAAGAGGGCATCAGATCCCCTGCAACTAGACTTAGAGATGGCTAGGCGCTGCCATGTGGGGACTGGTAATTGAACCTCTGTTCCCAGCAAGAGCAGCAAGTGTTCTTAACCAATGAGCCACCTCTCCAGCCCATCTTGGCCTTTTTTGGGGGGGATGGCTCAAGTCAGGGTTTCTCTGTAGCTTCGGAGGCTGTCCTGGAACTCACTCTGTAGACCAGGCTGGCCTCAAATTCACAGAGATCCACCTGCCTCTGCCTCCTGAGTGCTGGGATTAAAGGTGAGCACCACTGTCCATTCTTAAACGCTATCCTTCCTCAAAGTAGTTAGACACAAAAGAAAATAATATTCCCTTCCAATTGTTAACAGCTCCCAGGGAGGGACACTTAAATAAACACATTTTTCTCCTTGATGTTGGAGCAAAAGAAGGGGAGAGGTTGTCAATGATGTCCTGTTGAACCAGACACAGGACTGGAGCATCAATGGGAATATTTCATAACCCTAATATTTTCCTTAAGCAGTCTTTTTTTACCTATTCAGTGCAAGTAACTGACTGTTCCTGCGGCTATGAAATACAATTGCCTCACAAGGCTCAAAGTCTTTCCCCCCAGAAATGCCAACCTCAGATCTGATGGGGAGGGGGGTGGTAATGCCCATTATTCTTTTATAAGGGGCTCTCTCAACCCTCTGTCTATATCATTGAGATCTTGACAGGGGAGGCTCAGCGTACTTGGCTCACCTGCCCACTCACTGCAACTTTTATGAATATAAGAATTCTCTGCAACTACAGCTCTGTGGACCTGGCTACAAGGCAATAATTCTAACCACGTTTATTGAGCTCCTCCTATGTGCCAGATACTATGCTCACGCCTTGAATGCACATCTAACTTTCCTTTTTGTATACTTTTGCCATCTGCACTGCTACCTCCTTGGTCTAGGCTGGTATCACCCTTTACATGGATTATTGTGCAATAAAATTTGAGAGAGCTCTGTTCCCACTCTGGCCCCTAACAACGTATTCTGAAATCATGCTGAAGTGTAAGTCAGATCATTCAGCCCACTCCTCAAACCCGATCAAAAATCCTCTATTCCGTTTGGAATAAAATCTCAAGTTCTTACTGTTACCTACAAGGCCCATTGTGCTCGAACTTCTCTGCTCTTCCCTTTGTGTTTTAGCCATAGGTCTCCCGGCTGTCCCCCACCACACCTCCCCGGCCCCCTCCTTTAAGGGTCCAGAATTTCTGCCTCATGTGCTCCCTCAGCTACAAATGTGGTTATTCTTTCATTGCCTTTAGAACTCTGTAAAATTGCCACCTTGTCAATGAGGGCTCTGCAGGCCTTTTCTCTCTAGCTGCATGGTTCATTCTCTCATAACCACTAGGGCTGTAAAACTGTCACCCTCTCAGTGAGGCCTCTTCAACGTCTCTTTCCTTTAAGCCTAGTCCTCCTTAGGCATGCCTTCTTAGCTTCAAGGCATATTTTCTTTAAATTTTCCTTAGCACTTGCCACAGATTTTCTCTTACACCTGTTCACTTATTTGATTATGATCTGTTTCCTCCACTAGGATGCAAGCGATTCAAATCTAAGGGTCCTTTCTGTGTTTTTTTCTCCCACCAGCATGTTCCCAGTGCTCAGAAAAGTACCTGCCTCATAGTAAAACTGTTGCACAAATAAACTTATTTAATATTTAAAACATTAAAAGCTAGGAAATCTTCCCTTATCAGATGGCAAAGATGAGGTTCAAAGAGATTACACCAGTTTTTCAAATTTGCAGAGCTCTTAGGTCAAGCCCCAACTCTCTCAGACTGGGGAGGCTGCTCTAACCACCACACTACACAGCTTTTTCCTTATTGCTTCTTGGATGCCAATATATACTGGGCTCTCACCAAAACCCCTACTGAACAACAGTAGATTTTCTTGGAAAATGGCTAAGGTTCTGCTACGTGCAGTCTACTTTGGCTCACGTACTGGAGAGGAAGTGCTGTGACCCAGGCCCAAAGTCCCGGTGGGCATCCTGGAGCTGCTTAAGCCTCTCACCAACTGACATCTACGGAAAGAACAGTGGGTTACTTCTAGCCATTTGGTATGGAATCTGCAGTTGCCTCCAAGTAGCCTTATGAGCTCCCTCACAGGCTGGGCTTTCTCCGGTTCCAATCCCCTCACGCATTGACAAGGATCGGGAACAGCCTCCTAAGTTCTGAGCCATGGTAATTCTCCCCAGTCTAACTAGTGTGCTTAAATCTAGAGAAGCCCCTCACATTCTTCCAGTTCAGCCACTTCCTGCAGCTTAGAGGTTGAGAAGTTTCTTTTCTGACTCCTCATTCTCTCCTGTTCTTTTCCTGGGTAGGTTTCATTTCCAAACCCATGATAGCCTTTGGAACTGCGTACACATCCCCCCAAAGCCTGACCATACCCAGATGCCCCCCAAGCTCATTTCACGGTGCTCCTCTACCTGGAGCTGTTTCCACCGGATGTTGATCTGTTCCAGAGCCCTTGAATTCTCCATTGACAAGTGCACATCAGAAATGGCCAGTTGGTGGGCCAGATCATTCACTAACTTCACTCCATCTTTCACAGGAGAAAATTCTTCTTTGAATAGCTAGAAAATCAGAACCCAAGTGCCATAGCAGATAGAGAATAGGAGAGAGAACACATTACTCATTCACCTTCCCTCCCCATGTAGAGGTTTAGCCTCAGCAACACCACCTAGCTACTTGGCCATTTGTGCAACAGACTAAGATTTGAGCAGTCACTGGTTTTAGACATTTCTTGTATTCATTTCGGAAAAGTAGGGAAAGAGAACAGTAGGACAGAGATGGCATCAGACAAACTAGCCCCCAATCTAGCCCACAACTAAAGGAGGCTTGGCTGAGGCCCAGACCAACAATTAAGTCTCAGCAGAAGGAAGATTGGCACTGTGAAAGGAAATCAGGAAAGGAGGCCTACGTACCTTGATGGCTTGGATATGCTCTGGGAGAGAATCAATGAAGAGATCTCCAATGGGCTCCCAGGTGGCTCGGACTCCCTCGGCTTGAGTCAGAGTACTGCTCAGTTCCTCCATTGTGCCTTGGATCTCCAATAGATGTTCGAGCGTATGCTCAATATGGCGATGCTGATCCACACAGCGGGCTGTCAGCTTCTCCCAGAGCTCACTGGCCACTGTTGCCTGCTTCCATACAAAGCGGCTAAGATTCTGAATTCGCTGTCTGGGGGAGGTATCTGTGAGTACAGTCAGGAAGCCCCGTCAAGCTACCTTGGCAGAGGCAATCCAGAGAAAGACTAAGGCAAAGTCATCCCTTTATACAACGTGCATGCTTGCCTATAAATGTGGGGCTTAGGACACCAGTGTGTGCATGTTTGTATGGAAATATTCATATTTACATATATATTTCCATGGCTGAGCTCCTTTTGCACATTCGGGGCTTTAAATTTTATTACATTTATTTATGTGATATGCATATTTATTGTCTGTGTGTGTGTGTGTGTGTGTGTGTGTGTGTGTGTGTGTGTGTGCTTTCTTCAGTGCCTGTGTGGCGGTCAGAAGACAGTGTGCTGGAGTTGGCTTTCTCTTTCTACAAAGAGAGTCCCAGGGATCAAACTCAGTTTATCAAGGTCTGGGGCAAACACTTTCACCAAACTGAGCCATCTCACTGGCCCACGTTCCAAGATTTTTTAAAAATTAAACTGTTCATCTTGAGATTACTATAGATTAGTTTTTGGTTGTAAGAAATAGTATTGATAATTCCTCTACTCTTTACCAAAATGCTAATAACTTGTAAACTGACAATACCATATAACACCCAGGATTTTGGCATTGAGATAATCTGTTTTGTTTAGAGTTTCCTGGTTCCGCCTGTATTCATTTTTGTGCAAGTACACACACACACACACACACACACTTAGTTCTATGCAATTTTATCATGTGTTGGTTCATGAATCTACTGCCACATGAGGCTATTTTAGTTTCCTCCCTCCTTTACATTAAGGTTTTCTCATTGTTAAATGGTAAGGTAAATAAAGAATAAAGCATTTAAAGAGGTGTGGTGAGGTAAATCATCCGGTCTCATTTATGTGCCCTCAGGAAACGATTTAGCACTAGTGTCTGCTGTTCACTGAAATCCAGAGAAAGGAAACCCCAGCCCAGGAATTCAGTTCAATGTGCCATGCTTTTCTACTTGAGCTCCTCATTTATAGGTCTCCTCCTTGTCCCTCACACTTCCTGCTGCAAGGGGTTTCAGTATCTATAGTCCCAGGCTACGTGGGATTGCTTACTCGGGAGCCTGCCCTACTTGAGGCCCATTGAGCAGCAAGTTATGTACTAACTGGCCCAAAGAGAGATCAGAAATCAACCAAACCTATGAACAGGGTGTAAAAATGACTCCACTAATGAAGGCTTCTTTCTAGTCTAGTCACTTCATGTGTCAGGGCTCAGGATTCTTTCTGGAGGGCTTTGCTAGAGTGCCACTCAGACTTACTTTCCATGGATGCTACATTAGCAGTTTATTCATTAGCAGTTTATTCGAATCTAGACAGAAAATGACCCTCCCTATGAAGTCAGTTCCAGAAGTCACTAGGGTCAGTGTTGACAAGGCACAATCAATTTTCATCTCAAAGGTCATTACCTAACTTCTTCGGTTTTACGATTATTTTGCAGGTTGTTGGAGACCATGAGAGTTACATCAAATGACAACTAGTGTTCAACAGGCTGACCTACCAAATGAGTGATCCTCTGTTTGGAAGCTCCACTTGGCATGGCCATGGGGTCACTGGCTGTGGATAACTGCTTGTCTCTGTCTGTAATTTCTCTCATGAGTCACTTCATGTCTTCCCTAAGAGTAGCTTTGGGTGTTTTTCCAGTGCTTGCGTGTTTATCTCATAAAAATATTCCATCTACTGGGTGCATACATCTGTGGATGGTCAGGAAAGATGAGTTCTCTCTACACTATGTTCTCCACATTATGGTGAGAAAATTCGATGCCTGTCCTCTATAACTAACTCCCTGACAGTATGATTTAGCCAGACAGAAGTCCTTGTGGAGGGATTACAGGAGGAACATTCACAGAGCAGAATTGCAGGTGTCTGGCCTTGCTAAATCTAAGTTCTTCAAAGATTTATGACAAATTAGGATGATATTGCAGATGCCTGTCATTGTTCTAGAGATCAGTAGCACCTAACTGACTAACCATGTCCAGATATTATTAATCACATTAAAGAAATGTAAAATAGGGCTGGAGAGATGGCTCAGCCATTAAAAGCTAGGCTCACAACCAAAAGTATAAAAGAAATGTAAAATAATACAGGTATTCTTTGCCTTTTCCTTAGATCTCTCAATGATTTAGCTTTCTCCCCTTGTAACCTGCAGCAGGAACCTCCCCAAAGCTGCAGCTGCAGTTAACTACAAATTAGATGATAAGTTTTGTTACATATCTTCAAAGAATGCCTATGCCTCTGAGAATTTTCTCTGTAGTTTTTTTTAAGTACTAACAAGTTGCTAATGAATGGAGTTATATATGCTTGGGATTTTGTAACAGCAAGTAGAATAAGAATATAGAAAGAAATAAGATTGAGAAGAAATAAGATCAGAAGAATGTAGAAGGAATAAGAATGATAAAATTGGCACAGAAAATTAGAGCTAAGAAATTATAGAAAATTGGGACAAGAGAATTTGAACTAAAGAAGAAATAAAGAAAATGACCCTCAGATCCTATGTGAAGTTACTATAGAAATCTTTTTCCCCCTTCTTCGCTCCTGAGAAGCATTTCACCTTTGGAGCCCTGGGCAGGAGCTGGAGCAGGTCTCTTAGCCCTGATACTGGCATTGTCACTGTTCCTCTATGTTGGAGTAAATCAGATTTTCTATTGTTTTTTATTTATGCTCCATTTATTCATTAGTATCATCTCATGCAAATATGAAAACGAAGATTCAGATGCACATGGGTAGTAAGTTCAGCCACTCAATCCCCCCTCTCCTTCCTTCCTTCCTTCCTTCCTTCCTTCCTTCCTTCCTTCCTTCCTTCCTTCCTTCCTTCTTTCTAATATCTCCTTACAAGGCCACACGTGCTACTCTGAAGAGCCACATATCTCTTTAGGTCACACGCTGGTGAGACCTGTTTCAGACCCTTTCCTTTTTGATAACTGTGACTCTCGCCCCTTTCTGACTTTGGGCTCACAGGAGAAAACTACCTTCCTAAGCAATGGCTGATAAAAGGAGCTTGTGAAAGGCACAGAGGTGTTTGTTTAGTGGTACGGAGAGTTCAAGAAGTGGGGAAGACAGGAAGTCCACCTACCTTTGCTCTCAGAGTGAGGTTCCTCTAATTCCTCAAATGGATGCTGGGACAGGAATGCCTGAGCAGATTCCAGGACGGAGTAGATATAGGGGCCCTTAGACTTGACTTCTTCCATAAAGGCCTGGCAAGGTTTGCAGTCAACAGGAAAAGAAAACTTTTCAATCACTTCAGTTTTTTCCCATGATCAACAAACTTTCTTCTCAAAGTAACTTGGTCCAGTGGCACTACTAGATACCTTAGGGTTACCCAGGGGTAAAAAGGTCAGTCCTTCCTATAGGCAGAAAATAACTCTATTGCTAGGAAGTCTGTTTCGTGTGTAATGAGTCTGGCTTTGCCACAGAATAGAAGAAACGTAGAGTAGAGCTTAGTTTTATGGAAGACTCAGTGTAAGAGGCCAACCTTGGTTTTATAATTAGATTGAGTCCAATCTGAGCTATGTTGGAAGCTAGCCAAGTCTATGTAGTAAAACCTTGTCTTGGGCTGGAGACATGGCTCAGCGGTTAAGAGCACTGGCTGCTCTTCCAGAGGTCGTAAGTTCAATTCCCAACAACCACATGGTGGCTCACAACCATCTGTAATTCAATCTGGTGCCCTCTTCTGCTCTGCAGGCAGAACACTGTATACTTAATAAATAGAAAAATCTTTAAAAAAAACTTGTCTCAAAAACAAAATAGAACAAAACAAAGAGACATCAGTCATTTTTTGATTATAGAGATGATGTCACAGAAATATTTAAAAGTTCAGAAACCTATAAATTAAAAATTAAAACTCCAAATTAAAGCTAAATTAAAAATTATAGAGAATTACACAATTAAAGAGATGTATAGTCTTATCACCTAGAGTTAAACACCATTTATATTTTAAACATCATATTATGTTCATTTGTCCATGTTCTCCTTATAAATCATGTCAGGGCTTTAAATTGTATGACAAGACTTGACTCACTCTGTGAAGTGCAAGGCCCAGACTAGGACCATCACCACAACTTCAGGTGTCTGGGTAGAATTGAGGGTCTGTGTGTCAGGGTACTGTGAAAGAGTATTTCCTGCTGAGAGACTCCTTAGCAAACCTCCAGGAGTCTAACCTACCGCATGTGTCTCCTTCTCCTGTTGTACCAGGGCCACATCCCCTTGCAGGGGCAGCTGAGCTGACAACTCCTCATCCTTTTGGCTGAGCCAGTCAATAATCTCTTGGAGTGGGAGCTGAAGTTTTCCACTGTGGTCGGAGAAGGCCTCTAGGCGAGCGCTGCATGTAACATGAAGACCAGTGACTCAATCATTTTTTAAGTAACAACATCTATTCTTCCTTTACTGGGGCTGGAGAGATGGCTCAGAGGTTAAGAGCACTGACTGCTCTTCCAGAGGTCTTGAGTTCAATTCCCAGCAACCACATGGTGGCTGACAACCATCTACAATTCAATCTGGTGTATATGTAATAAATAAATAAATCTTTAAAAAATCTATTCTTCCTTTACAATATTATACAAATACTTTAATATACAAAATGCATTCAAAGGAATGGCTGTAACTGAAGTGGAAAGAAGCCCAGAAGCCCCTCCCTCTTGTATCTACTCATTAATCTTCCTGAGGTCCCACCATAGGTATGCAGTATTTAAACAGTGTTTGGGAGCTATCCTATACTAAAGTGGTTTAAAACATAACCTTGTGGGTCCTGGTCACCCCAGCTGCACATCCAGCACCGTGCATGCTAGGAAGAGTAAGAAACTGAGCAAGGGCATTAGGAGTGACAGCAATCTGGCTCCCCTCTTGCTCTGGCAGAATCCAAATCACATCAGTCTGCTTGGCCACATAGGCTGCTCTGCACAGGAGAGAACGCAGTTGGTGGGAAGGGCGGGGTGGATGGCTGAATATGGGCACAAACATAAGCAAGGATGCACACAAACCCCACCAGCCCAAAGGAACTCAACAGATGACAAAAACATTGGCTATGGGTTGGAAATGCAGAAGCAAAAAATTATTATGTGATCATATGTCTGTTTGCCCCCGACTCCCAGATGAAATATGAGCTAGCGGTAGGAAGTTGAAGGCTGCTCAAGGCCTGATGCAGCTATTAATCCCATTCCTCTTAGTTGGCACTGACAACTATCTTTGTCCTCTGCTTCCCTAGAACTGGAAAAATTTCTCCTAAATATATGGTGTAAACTAGATCTTAAAACCATCTTATAGGGTAGGCCCTATTATCTCCAAAGATTAGTTTGTTCATAACTACATACTTAAGTGACTGACACAGATCTGTGATTTGAAACCAGTTTCATATGCTGCTACAGCCTGCTTTCTTTCAGCTTTTCTACACTGCCTCACCTCATTACACACCCCCAGAAGCCACAAGTTCGGGCTTTGTGGTAGGAAATAGAGATTTGAAAAGAATGAGACACACACAGAAAGGCAGAAAGAAAAAAAAAACATATGGAAATTGCCTTTAGGCTCTTACTGAGTTGCACCTACCCAAGCTGATAACCCATGGATGGGAGCAGAGGACATAAAAAGATGCAAGTGGGCTGGAGATGCAGCTCAGTTGATAGAGTACTTGCCTAGCATGCATAACGTTTGAGTTCCATGACCAGATAAACTGGACATGGTGATTTATGCCTGGAGTCCAAGGATGCAGGAGGTAGAAACAGAAGGATCAGAAGTTCTAGGTCCTCAGCCACATAGTGCCTTTTAGGACAGTCTGGGATACCTGAACCCTGTGTCTAAATAAATAAATAACACAAAATACAAGAAAGGGATGGGAGTGTACAGATGAAACCCTCCAAGGCTGGACAGTCATGAGAAGAGGAGGAGGGAACACTCACTTCATTTTTATTTACATGCCAACACTTTTAAGCTTATAAATCATTTTCCAAGTTATTTGGATGTTCATGACAATACTATGAGGTAGGTAGGACAGATATTATTTATTCCTCCATTGATTTCTTTTTCTTAAAAAAAACAAAAGAATGAAGCTAGGTGTAGTAGTGCTCACCTATGAGCCTAGTCCTACAGAGGTGAAGGAAAGGTTCAAGGCCAGCCAGCACTCTACAGAGAATGAGGAGCCAGCCTGAGCTGCAATCTCGGGAAAAAATCAAGCCAAGTGGAACCTGAAATTCAGAGGGCCCCAGCAACTTATTCAGGATGACACAACTACTTAAAACAGGTTAAGTTAAAAAATCTCCTTACTTCTAACCCAGGATTCTTCCTCTCGTGCCAGAGAAAGATGGAGAGAAGTAGATAGTGAGGCTGATGTGGGGGGGGGGGGAGGGCTGCAGCAACAGAAGGAGCCCAATACTGTCTCAGTCAATCCCTAAAGTAACTGTTTCTAGGAGTTAGTCCTTACCGGAGGTTGTGAGACTTCTTTTTTATTTCATTCCAACACAGATTCATGGCTGATGGTTCCAGGGGGCCAATGGCTCCAACCGACCCGTTCAGGAGCTTTGGACTTAGGCAGGGATCCCCGGCACCATCCCAAGGGGGGTGCAGGGATGGTGACCGCAGCTCTAACCTGGACAAAAACACAGAAAGTCTGTGGTCCCTGGACTTTTCCATACCCTGTTCTATGCTAAACTAAGTGTGGGACGATTGAAGAAGATGAGAGAAAGGTCGGTCCCAGGGTCCAGAAATCCTATCCTATTTTGTGTGGGTGTGTATTCAAGGAGTGAGTCCCACTCACTGGAAGGTCTTCTCTTGGGACCGGCATAGAAGTCCAGAGTACAGCTTCCTTCACTATCCCCCCTCCCCGTTAGAAATTTTGACAGGATGAGTGTGCAAATGGGCTCCTGCATCCAATTAGAAGCTAGTGGGATTTGTCAAAACACGAACAATCATAGCATCCAAACAGAGCTGTAAACACAATCCGCAGGGGCTCACACTTTACCCAAGCTTCTAGAAAATACAGCTGAGGGTCTGTCCCACAGACTCAGAGACAAGGCAGATATGCCAAAGAAGCGACCCATTCCCCATATCCAACTTTCCAATGGATCTAGGCCTTTGAGGTAACTTTCCCCCAGTTCTAACCCACACTTCAAACCACAGTTACAAAGCCTGGAGATCACTGGTCATGAAGGTGAACATGGACTGAGAAAGATAAAAAGGAACATTCTGGACTTTTCACTAAAAAGGGCTCTGACCGATGTCGGCAGCCAAGAGGCCCAGTCTTGAAGCTCATCAAACTGTAGCTTTGGTTCTCAGTCCCATGCTCTACTGTTGCTGCCTGGGCACTGGTGAGACCCAGTGAGAATATTGTTGGGTCTTGGTTATAGTTGGCAGAATCACCCATTATGAGCATAGTGCTGAAAATACCCAGCCAGGGGGCAGTAGAGGGTGACGGAAGGAGGGAAGTTGGAGTAGGGAATCTGTATCTGAGCTGAGACACCCAACCCAGAGATACTCTCATGCTTGCCGATCTACCTGCGTCTTGACTACACAGCTGGCCCTCCTAGAGGTTGGGACTCCTCAATTGCCCTCTGTCTTAAAATCATACTTCTTGGGGCTGGAGAGATGACTCAGAGGTTAAGAGCGCTGACTGCTCTTCCAGAGGTCCTGAGTTCAATTCCCAGCAACCACATGGTGGCTCACAACCATCTGTAATAATGCCCTCTTCTGGCCTGCAGGCATACATGCAGACAGAACACTGTATACATAATAAATAAATAAATAAATAAATAAATAAATAAATCTTTTAAAAAAATCATACTTCTTACAAGACTCTCCAAGCAACTGAGGGTACCAACCTTCCCAGTAAAACCACAGCTCAAGACTACAGCTTGAAAGCAAAGTGATAGGGGACAATCTGAGATGTCAGTCACCCTGCAGCCCAGGTGTTGACCCTACCTGTGCCGCCCGAGGAGTCCATGGCAGGACTAGGGAGTTCCATGATTTTCCCTCAGCAGGAATCTGGACTCCGTGTCTGTTGAGTGCGGACCAGCAGAACTCTGAGGAGCTCTGAGCAAACCCACTCAGGCAGACAAGCAGAGCTGAGCCAGGCCAGAAGGCGGGGTCAGTGGTGCTACCCTGTTTGTTTACTGACCCCCCAGGAATCTGGAGGGGGCGGCCATGTCAGAGCCTATCCAGTGAATCAGAGCTTTGTTGTGGGAAATTCCGGCTCGCTCCCAGGCTGGCAAGGATGGTGGGAGTGGGACTGAGCATTCCATGGTGCTGAGGAGGGGTGTGGAGAGGGCAGCCCCTGTTGACTAACTTTCCCCTTCTTGTGGGAGATACAAGGCACTCACTGCCTCCAGGCCCAGCCCTGCTCTGAAGTGGACAAAAAGGTAAGACAACTTCAGCAATAAACTTTCTGAAGGCAATTCCAAGGACTGATGGAGAATGAGCTTGGAACATAAGCCTTGCTCTCAACTAAGTGAGCCGCCTCCTCAGAAGGGGGGTGAAATGTGTTCCACACACCTGGGGACAGGGTTGTGGAATGTCTGCATTGGGAAGCTGAGGTAGCAGAATCCCTCTGCATTTGATTAACTTCCATGAGTGCAAGGGCCAGAAGATTCGCTGGATGCTACTGTGAAAATAAGGGAGTGCTTGTCCTGCCTTTGAGGAGTAGAGGGGGAGCCATGACCGGCTGACCTCTGTACCTTGAGAACAGAGTTAAGGGCTCTGGGCATCCGGTTGAGCCTCTATAATGGAGGAAGAGAGGACAATGAAATGTAGCAGCTCCATGAAAAGAGTCAGGGATGGAGACACCCCTGTTCCAGCCTCTGCTATGCTGGGTAGGATTGAGGGAAGCCACTGACTGAGGGGCAGAGCATCTACTGGAAATGACCATCAGTTTCCCTCTTTAGTAGACTTGCCTGGAAAAAGGTTAACATTCCCCAGTTCAGCCCCCACCCCTGAGCACTTTCAGAAAACACTATGTTTATACCAAAAAGGGTTCTGTTCCCATCCTTATTTATCTCCCACAGTCTTCTAGGCTTTCCAGAGTTCCACATTGTTTCCATGCTGAGGTCCACCTACAGGAATAGCTGTAACAGCTGCCTGACCCTTTCTAGAGGCCCGAGTGGAGCCAACTGGGATGGCTGCAGGATGGCAGGGGATGACGAGCCAAGAGTGGGGAGTGGCTTCTTGTTACAGGCATTACTTGTGTTAGGATAGTTGGGCTAAAGCCAGTGTCACAAAGTCCTTTGGACTGGGAATGCCCCAGAGTTGGAAACAGCCCCTTGTGACCCAGCCGTGACCAAGCTGTCCTGGCTGTGCTCTGGGGAAGAACACACAATGAGCTGGGCGCCATCGCTGTTAGCCTTTCATCCCCTTCAGCACTCTTTCTTCTTAGTTTCCTAAGCCCCATCCAGGTCTCTAGAGCCCAGTTCTCCTCCCATTTCCCCTCTGAAGAGGACCGAGGACATTTCAGAGGCAAATCGTGAGGAGGAATTGTTCTCTTTCCCTTTCCATGTCAGTTGCTTTCCCTTCCTGGTTTTTATGGATAAGACGTTTGCTGCTCACACCCCATCCACACAGTTCTTTCCACATACCTCGAGTCCTTGAGACAATGGTAGCCCAGGCAGGCAGAAAAACTACATCAAAGCAGGATGTCATGCCATTCACAGTCCCACACTGAAGCCCCCATGCGCTCTGCCCATATAGGGCAGCTTGCTGGGTGTGGGGAAGAAACGGGCAAAGGAAGCCTTTTGGAAAGACCCAGGCTTCTCAACACCTCAACACTATGAGAGACACACTTTAAGGAAGAGGTTGATTACTGGGCAGTTCTAAATTGACCCTGGTTTTGAGAATGTATCAGAAGCAAAACTTTTATTCCGGCTAAATTCAACAAGAAAAAGTGGCTAACAAAGACCTGATCCTCATTCCCGTCTGGATCTTGACTTTTCCTTATACAGCTTTCCCCAAATGATTTCCCTAACACCTGTATTCTCTCTATTGCTTTCCCCGATCTCTCCCATCTCCCTACAAACTGACCTGCTGTCCTGTGCCCCTAGAAGTGACTCAGCACTGCAGTTTGTCTGTGACTCTCTAGGATACATTACACTTCTTCATGCTGCACTGTCTCTAGACCCCAAAGCCTTGCATGGAAACTGGAAGTGTACCTATGTCTCCCTCTTTTCCAGACAGCTTCCCCTGGATCTCCTTCCTCATTGTCAGGAAAGACAACTTATCTTTCTAGATTACTACCTCTCATTTACCTACCAATATAGATAGGCAGGCAGGCAGGCAGGCAGGCAGGCAGACAGACAGACAGACAGACAGACAGACAGACAGACACACACACACACACACACACACACACACACACACACCAACATTACCGCTATCATCACCATACTCCTAGAAGAAGATAGAAAATTCCAAGCAAGGCTGACCCAGGAGCTACAAGGAAGACTAGTGACTTAAGACCATGAGCCAATGGAGAGAGAGAAAAAAAATTCAGAAGAATACAAAATACACTACCCAGAAACCAAGGCCTGGGAAGGATCTCACTCTGCCCTAAGCCATGCTGTGAAGAACCATGCTCTTTTGGGACCTCCAGAGACCTATATCCCTCAGAAGATTAACATGGGATCGGTCCCCATTAGTCACAATGGGCCTTTGGATTGCCTAACCTGGCAACTTTCTTTGCTGTATGTCCCCATTAACTACCTCACGCCTCATGAGGGATGGGCTGCAGAAGGCTCTGTGCTATCTAAGGGTTTTCACTTACATAGGAGTTTCCTGGCACCTTAGGAAGTACAGGTATCACATATGTTCGCCAGATCCCACATCCCGTCTTTTCACACAGGCCTTTCTTTTAGTAATGGACACTTACCTGAGGCTGGGGACAGGTGTTTCTGAGGCTGCGGCTGTGATGAAACCTGTCAGCAGCATGCCACTCATGACATCGTGGGAGGGTGTAAGGGCATCCCTGCATGACCAAAGGTTGCATCAGAACCAAGGCTCATGGAGGGTGAGGACTGGCAGTAGACCAACTGTTGAGCATCAAGCACCTGGGAAAGTAATAAGGAGAGAGTTAGAGACAAGACTAGAAAAAGCCAATGAAGTCAGCACATCCTAACAGCTGTATGGGCCAGCTAACTATGCAGACAAGTATCCACAGCTAACTGAACTACATAATAGTTCTTCCCAGGCTACTATGTGCCATACAGGATTAATTGCTAGCCAAGGAAGGATTATTGTTAACCTAATATGCTTTGTGCTAGAGACACAAAGATGAATTACTACAAGACAGATTGGAGACACAGCTAGGTGAACTAGTAATTATAATAAAATACTCATGTGTCAAATACTATTCATAAGGCTACACGAGGTCAAGGGAGCACAAAGCAGATCCAAGACCACCCAGATTCAGAGACAATGCATTTGGGGTCTAGGGAGATGGCTCAGTCCATTAAGCTTGCTACCAAAACATGAGGAATTTAACTTGATCCCCAGATCACACACGTTAAAAAACGTTGGGCATGGTAGCATGTGCTTATAATCCCAACACTGGGGAGGGGAAACAGGCAGATCCCTGGAGTACTCTGGCTAGTCAGCCTAGCATACTTACTGAGCTCTGGGCCAATGAGAGACAATGTCGAAAGAAAGAAATCAAGAAAGAAAGAAAAAAGAAAGGAAGGAAGGACGGAAGAGACAGACATAAAGTGACTCCTGAGATTGACCTCTGGTTTCCCTAGAAATGTGTGCACACATGTATATGCTCCTACACATGTATATGCATCCACCTGCAAACACACACACACACACACACTCACTAATGCAGAGACGCATACTACAAAGAGGATGTTTGTGATAAGCATTGGAGGCAGAGTTTGCCTACATAGAAAAGGGGAGAAGGGCACTAATTGTTGGCCCACCTATTTCTGATGTCACAAAAAGGCAAAGCATACTCAGGTAACAGTGAATTCAGTATAGCCAGAGTTTGGAAGACAGAGAGGGAAAAGGACATAGTGCCTGCTCCAAGGAGTTCACATACAGAAAAAAACAAACAGGGAGAATAGAGACGATCAATTATGTGCATTAATGTTAGAAATAGTGATGGAGTAAAGAAACAGAGGAGGACAAGGTGAATTCTTCCTGGCCATGTCAAGAAAATTTCCCTAGAGAAAATATGTTTTAGATGAACCATGAAAAAGAAGTAGGGTTGCATTATGTTGAAAAGATAAAACCAAAAAGAATTTTCCAAACGGCACATAAAAAGTGTGGTGTAAGCAAAGAACAAGATGCGTGCCTGATTGGGCCGTGTCCTGAATGACAAACAACAGACTGTAGCTTTTATTTTGTACACAAGAAGAGGGCACTGAAGCTTTTAAGCAGGAGAGTGACATGGCCAGATTGCTTTCTGCTTGCCTTGTGTGGTGATTCTCCCAGGGGAAGAACACGCTGAGAAGCTAGTATATAATAAATAGGCAGGCAGGATGCATGAGCAGACAGCAAGCTTTGCGGTACACCAGGGAGGTAAAACATTTGGGACTTAGTAGCCAATTGGATGTGAAAGGTAAGGGAGCTGAAGGAGTCAACATTTCTAATTTGGGAGCTAGGTGGGTAACTTTGCCAACAGCAAGAGCAGGGATACAGGAAAAAGAACACATTTCGTGTGGTAAGAGGTGAGGGTAATGTTGTATAATCAGATATGCTGGAGACATTTAGCTTTACACATCAGAACTGATGAGCTTTGAAAGGGAGATATATGAGCAAAAATTAGATGTACAAATCAAATGATGGCTTCATAAATATATACAGCATGAGTATAAGTAGTAAGGATGATGCTTGCAAATGATAAAGGTGACCTCTTTTAATGTGTGGCCAAAACAAACCCTTCTCCAAAGGGGACGAAGCAATGATCTTTGATCACCCCCGCCCCGAGGGGTGATGATTAAACAGTGACCATTTTAAGCTTTATTCCACTAGTCCCCAACATTTTACATATACGGGTCCCTTCCTAAGATGAGGAAAAAAGTCTCACTTCACCCACTCACACCCACAATAGTAGCTGTACTTTTAGAATGTACAGAATGAGAGAAACACTTAACACATTTAGACATCTGTAGACTTCATACATCAAGTATGCTCTTCTTCAAGGGTCCATGCTCCCAAGATGGAGGGCTATTGCAGATTCTGGTGTTTGTAGTGTGAAGGACACTGTTAAAGCTAAAAATTCCTGGCAATTACACAGCTACACATTTTTCTACCCACAAAGCAATTACCCAAAGGATGGCTGAAAATACAATTCCCTCAATCAAATACCAACAGGAAAAGATCAATCACTCAGATAAAACATAATGTATTGAAGTGGGTGGTGGGGTAGCCTTTAATCCCAGAACTCAGGAGGCAGAGATGGACAGATCTCTAAAGAGTGCAAGGGCAGTCTGATCTACATAGTGAGTTCCAGTCCAAATGCTTTGATTTTTGTTGAATTCACAAGTAATTCTTGTTCTCAAAATTAAAAAAAGCTTTTCCTATAGCGCCACAAGTTGACTCTGGGGACTTGTACATACTAGGCAACCTCTTTATTGCTGAACCATAGGTTTTTTTTTGTATTTAAACCTTTTTCATAAAAAAAGAAAAAAAAACCTTTTCATTTGAAATTTGTTTATTTATTTATTTACTTACTTATGTGAAGTGCTGGGGGCGGGGCCCAGGGACTTTCAAATGCTAGGCAAGAGCTATAGCCCTGAGCTGTATCTTCAACTTTCACGTACACTATTTACAGAAAAACTGGAAAATGTGAAGTCAGTCATAGGATGGAGCTGACAATAACTGCCATGCTGCCAAAGACAACCGTCACTAACAGACATAGAGATGGAGTCCTTTGTCTCTGAAAAATAAACACTGGTAAATTCCGGGTAATGTGGAGGGCAAGAAACTGGTTGCATGTGACCAGGAGAAGAAAAGTCAGAATAATTAAAAATAGACTGTTTCAAAGAGAGAAGGGGCGGAAAAGCTTTGGAAATTCAGGAAGATGGTATCAGTGAAGCAGAGAGAGTGAAGAGTACTCTAAACGGAACAGGCTTTGGCCCTGTGGTTCTCAGACAAGGGAAGGGAGCAGAGAGCCCATCCAAAAGCGCTTTGTTTTCTCCTCTCTGCATTGTCCTAGGGAACTGAGCCCTCCAAAGGAAGGCTGCTCAATCAAAATATCACCAAGGCAAACTGAAGAGTTATGCAGACAACAGATGTGCAAATTTAATCACAGAAACCCAAAAGCGCACAGCTCCTTAGTTATTGAAGTAAAAGATAAAGGAACTGGGTAAATGCTAGGTAAAGATTTCAAAAGTTTATGACTAAAGATGATCAATGACCCCCAAAGAGGCTACAAATAAGTACATGACCCTCATCCAAGACCTAGGCAAGAAAGCCAGTAACGTGGAAGAAAAATTCAGCAAGGAAGTTGAGATTTTGAGAACAGGAGAACATAAAATAGAAACATTAGAAACAGGGCCAATGAGATAGTTTAGTGAGTTAAGGTGTTTGCCACCACTGACCACCTATGTTTGATCAACAGGAAATACTCGTTAGAGGGACAAAACCAACTCTCAAAAATTACTCTTCCCACGGGGGGGGGGCGTTGGTGTTTGAGACCAGTATGGTCTACAAGAGCTAGTTCCAGGACAGGTTCCAAAGCTACACAGAGAAACCCTGTCTCCAACAACCCCCCAAAAATGCTCCCCCATAATAAGTAAATAAATTTAATAAAATGTTAGAATGAAAAGTCAATAAATTAAAAATTAAAAAAATAGTCAAAACACCAGCAGTAGGCTCAATAAAGCTGAAGAAAGAATATCAGGGATGGAGGACAAGGTTAAGAAAACACTATATTTTTACAAACAAGGGAAAATAAGAAAAAAGGCCAGGTGTCACAGTACACACCACTTGGAAGGCAGAGAAGGGTGGATTCCTGTGAACTCAAGGACAGCCTGTTCTACATAACAATTTCCAGGACAGCCAAGGCTACACAGAGAAACCCTGTCTCAAAAACTAAAACAGAAAGAAAGAAAAATGAACATGACTGTAGCTTCCACAAATTCTGGGTCAAAAGACCAAACCTAAGAATTCATAGGAAAGGAGTTGAGATAAAAAAAAACAAACACAGTGAGAATCTAATCAATAAAATAACAACATAAAAAGCCTCAAATCTAGAGAAATAATTGCAAATTCCAGGGACATTTGGAACCCAAAATAGGCATGAAAAAGATCCTCTCCATGACAAGAAGTCAAACATACAAAACAAAGAAACAATTTTAAAATCTTTAAGAAAACTACCACTTACTTACAAAAGCAAACACATCATAAAAACATCAGGTCTCTTATCAGCATCCCTAAAACTAACCAAGGGAGGAGGAAGAGGAGGAGGGGAAAGAAGAGAAGATATTTCAAGCTCTGAACATTAAGTAACTACCACTCAATACTGTTCTATCAAACACAAATCTATATTTTAAAATTGATGGAGAAACAAGGACAGCCAGCTCTAGCACAAGCTAACCACTGAGCATAAGGTATTTTCAATTTATTCTTTGTGTCTTTTACATCATGCATCTCTATCCCATTCATTTCCTCATCCCTTCATATCCACCCTCTGCCCTTGCAAGCACCCCACCTCTGCCATCAAGTAAAATAAAATTTAAGAGAAAAAAAAACAGAGAAGGAAAACATCAGTTGCCCCATGGAAGCTGCAGTGTGACCCTGTGAGTCACACAGTAAACCCTTTAGTCCATCCATCTTTACTTGCAAGTGTTCATTGCAAAGAGTTGGTTCGAGGTCGCTGGTTTCTGCTACAGTATTGATGCTGGGCCTTTCCTGGGAGTTCTCTTGGATATCCTGCTGTTACCCTGTGTTGTGGAGGTCCTGCAGCTTTGGGTCTGCAGGACCGGCCTCTTCACGTGCTCCAGCAGTTCAGAGATGGGGCGGAGGTTGGGGTGAGCCAACCCATAATCCTGGTTCTGGGCCTGGGTTGTTGCAGGGTTGGTGAGCCCGCCAGCTCTCCCTTGTCTTC